ACTGCAGCAGATGCTCCAGCGTATAGTTTGTGATGTGCGGATAATTGCGTAGCTGAATGCGTTCGAGCCGATTGTTTGGCGAACGATTCGAGTTGCGTATCCAAACAACTTCTGGCTGTACAGGATTGGCGGCGCGACCAAAACTATAAATGGCCCGATCCGAGACATATCCCTGCGGCGGTAGCGGACTAACCGGTTGGCATCTGCGCTGACGACGTGCATAGTCCCTGTCCAGCGGATCCAGCATGTTCCAGAACATCGGATGATGCACAACCTGTTCAAAGTTTCCGCGTGGATGCGTGCGATGACGTCGCGATTGCATGACCAGCAATGGCTCGGCCATGGCCTGCGGATTCATATAGATGACCTGATCGCGACGCGGCAAAAAACGACTGTGCGCCGGCTGATTGCCGCGAAGTGTATGTATCTGATCCACCATCTGCTGCAAAAAAGAAGCCATTGCTGGTCGCTGGGCATCAGCAGGTGCACCTTCCTGTACATAGATGTAGGCTCGCGGAGTTCCTGGCTCTGTTGCAGCTGCATGTTCGGCCGGCTCAGGATTTTCGGCGTTCTCTGCGGGCGCTGGCGACTGCTCGCGCGCCACACTGGGAAGCGCGATAACCACAAGCGGTGACTGTATGCCCCCATTGCCATCCGCATCGGAGCTATGCTCATTGCTGTGCGCTGCCGCACTATCTGATTTATCGGAGGAGGACGCTGAAGTCGATGATGTGTCCTCGTCATCGGACCCTGACGAAGCACAGCCGCCACTGCGTTTTGGTGTGCTGTTGGAACGCTTGGCATCGTCCGCTTCCCTTCTAAGGTTGCAATTATCCGAGGTAAATGTATCGCTAGCTGGCTTTGGAGCATCGGTTGTCGACTCTTGACTCTGGGCTATTTTGCAGGCACGTAAATGCTCCATGGCCGCGCGCGACGTCGATGGCTCATCATCATTTAGCATTTTGAGTGAATCTGGGACTGGAGAATTGGGTTCTTCGCTGCCAGGATTGACATTTCCATTGGTTGCTCTTGCTGGCAAACTTGGCTCCGGTGGCAGAAACGGTGGCGACTCCAGCAGCAGTTCCCTGAGCCCCTCAATGGCGCTAAAGCATTGCAGATCCGAGTTGTTAATGGGCGTCAGACGCAAATCGAGCACCTGTTCAAGGTAATACGTAAGGTTTTAGGACTTTATATAAACACTATATATAGCTCATAGCAAACCTCCAACTTTTGAAAGCCAAAGCGTGCCGCCATGCTGCCGTAGGGCACAAATTTGCACATCATTTGACAGCCCTTTAGGCTGAGTCGGCGCAGCGAGGGCAGCTTCGAGAGAGCCATGATGTAGTATGGCTCAAACCAATTGTTATCCTCAATGCTCAGGTCCTGTTAGATATAAAAAGGCATATTAATAAAGCCTGATTCCAATTGGTCGCCCACAACTACCTCCAAGTCAACCAATTGCTTTTCTATTGTATGAAATATGCTCTTGATATGATCTCCAACCTTTACGCTGCAATCCTTAAGCGATAAACGCTTCAGTGACGATGGAAATTCCGATATATGTATCTGTATAAGACAACAGGTTAAATATTATATATAATATGAACAATTTACACAGCTACCCACATATTCAAAGTCCAGGCTGACGCCCTGCAGCTCCAGGACCTTCAACTGTGTGGCCACCTTGGGAAACACCGAGGTTAGGGTGCATGTGAACTGCTTAAACTCGCCAGCAACATGCTGCGATGAGGGCGGCCCACAGATTTTGATGGTGTGCGTCTTCTCTGTGGCACGTCCCAGTATCTCCTCCAATATACCCAACGGGAGCGGCGCATTGCTGAGATCAATATTGTGCCAGAAGCGATGATCCAAAAGCAAAGTCTCAAAGCGCGGCGAGCAACTAGCCAAGACAAAGAAGATTAAGTTCATTTGTTGTCGTTTTGTAAAGGGAGAACCCCACTTACTGCATCACCGCCATTATGGAAGCCGAGTCCAGATACTTAAATATCTCATAGAGCAATTCATTGCAGAAGCTGAGCAGATGATACTTTTGTGGCTGCTTATCCTCTTGCTGCTGCTTCTCGTCCTGCTGCTGCTCCTGCAGCTCTGTTCTGCGCTGCTTCGGCTCCGGTTGCTCCTGCAGCGGCAGGGGCGCGTCCGTTTGCTTTAGCTCGCATTCGGACAAGCGTCGCTTTTGCGCCGCAACAAAAGCGTTATGTACACTATTCATATTGCTTAATGCGCGGCAAGCCAAATTTTTTTTTCTTGGAAAAAACTCAACTTTTTGCCGAAATAAAAAAAAAACGGCAGCTAAAAAAAACGTCAAACCTGCCAAAAGTATTTTTCATTTGCCATTCCCAGGGACACACAAACAGCTGTTGTTACGCCGCACGATAGTTGAATTCATCGACAGTTGATAGTGTTGCATAGTGGCATCGATATGACGCTTTACAGCACTGCTAGCAGCGCAGGTTATTTGCTCGTGTGTTTTGGCTTTGGCTCTTTGCAGGTTTATTGAAATAAAAATGTTAATTTTGAGGCAGCTACGCAAACTGAATGGCCAGCAAAGACTCCAGCTGGGTGTGGAGCAAACGCGACGCTCCATGGCTGATGCGGCTCAAAAGAATGCCAGCTTCCAATACGATAAAGATCCCCAACCGCTGTTCACCGATGCCGAAACGCAGCGCCTGCTTCAGTCCATGACGCAACTGCAGCTGGAGAAGGTTTTCCGAAAGCGCACCGTACCAGACAACAGTACAGAGACAAAATTCATGACCACCGCACAACTAGAAAAGGAGTTTTTGCAAACCATTGAAAAGGCAAAGAAATTACTGCAAATGCCGCCGGTTGTTCAGATCAAGCAGGACACTGAGCACATTATATCCAAGGATCCGGCGCTAAAGGATTTTGCCGACACCAAATACGTTTTCACAGACATCACGTTTGGTCTGCGTAATTCGGAACGCAAAATTGTGGTGCGAGATGCGGACGGAACCCTGGCCTATGCCCCATTGGAAACTCGGAAACGCATGAATCAATTGTATTTTCCATTGGAGGGCCGCCGATCCTATACCCCGCGCATGTTCACCCACGATGATCTGCTGCAGCGTTGTTTGGATGAACACAAATATGAGTTCGTGCTGGATCGCCTCACAGTGCAATATGAGCCCTATGAGGCTGAGTTCCATAACTTTTCGGCCAAAGTATTTGCACATCTAAATGAATCGAAAGAATTCGATTTGCTGCGCTCCACCCGCCACTTTGGACCGATGGCGTTCTTCTACGCCTGGCACCGCTGCATTGACGATCTGCTCTACGACATGATACGCCGGGATTATCTTCACAATGCTGTTGAGCTAATTTCGCTCAGCTACAAGATACACCAAGTGCCCGTGGACTATAAGCCAATTCTCAGCCAGTTGGAGGCACTGAAGCCAACTCCCGCTCAACGGGCGCTTGCCGAGCTGCTCAGCTGCTTGAAAAAGCCAGCGGAAAATGCCATTGAGCATGAAATCCAAACGGCCATTGGCAAAACGGAGCAGGATTTCGCCGCCGATGAGATCAGCCTGAAGTTCATTGAACAGTATATTGGCAGCAAGCATGCGCTGAAGAAGGTGCAACTGGAGCTGGCCGTGCAGACGCTCAAGGAGGTTAACCTGGAGAAGCTGCAGCTGTATCAGGGCTTAAAGAAGGCGCACGGCGTACAAGCGTCATAAAAGCGCATATCTTTTTATTAATATTGTTATGCACTAAAAATAAAATACAATTTAGGCAAATTTTTGGTTAATCATTGCGTTAGGAGCCAGCGCAGACGCTTGTGATGCTGCAGGATGCAGCGGCGCTTGTGGAGAACACAGCGAAACGCATTATTGAAACGCTTCAGACAAATGGTGCAACGATATATCTGGGCTTTGACATGCGCCCGGCGCGCACACTTGTCCAAGTATATGTGTTTAGCTCTGCTGCAGGCGGAGACCAGCATGCGATGCACCAGAAACTGTGCGAATGAGCTAAAGCTTTTGCGGCACAGCAGGCAGTGATGGGCTTTAACGTTCAGATGCCTTTTCAGATGCCGCCGCAGCTGTTGCTTTGAGACGACCATAAAGCTGCAGTGCAGATGGGGGCATTGCATATGGATCTGTGGTCGGCTGCGGGCATGGGGACGCGCCGTGCAACTGTAGCCATGCTGGCCAATCAAATGCCGATGTTTGATCAGTTTGCCGCAGCTGAAGCATAGGGCACGCGGTCCATAGTGCATCGCCATGTGCCGCTGATGCTCCAGCAGATAGTTGGCCACCTCGCCGCAGATTAGGCACTCGAGCATGCCATTGGGAAACATGCTGGTGTGTTGACTAACATAAGATAGAAATTTTCTCTCCTGCTTCATGCTTTCTTCATCCGGACCTGTCGACGGCTGCGGCTCAATCCACGCTTCGTCATCGTCATCGTCCCGCTTGCATTGTATGCCCACATCTGCTGTGGATATATTCTCCGTTTGGATTTCTCGCATGCGACAGGGCACGCTGTTGTCCTGCTTAACGCTCTCTGTTGTGGGCATGGTTAGTTGCTCTTTCGGTGCCGGTTTATAATTATCAAACGCACACAGAGCCGCAATATTTTTGCTAATTTTTGAAATCCCCGTAATATTGTGCTCCTTGGCAAACTGCTGTGTGATGCAGCAGGTTTCAACGCAGACGTACTCGGGCAACTCGTAAACAGGCACAACTATGGGCGTTACCTACGCGACCAAAATATACATGCAACAGTGAGCAAATCTTATTTAAAAATCAATTGAATATGAAAATAAACACCTTTGCTTGGATATGTTGCATCTTGCCGCTGAAATTATTAACAGCTGTCGATAACGAAATCGATAAGCGGCATTCAAAGCCTGCTGTAACTATTATTACCCAGCCCTGGTCATCAGCAACAATCGATAAGAAAAAAAGAAAAACAGAAAAGAGCTAAATGATTTGGCGCGTTTTTCAAAAGTTATTCAATCAATATGTAATTTTAGTTGTTTATTAAAACGTTACAATTTAATTCTAGTACACTTTTGCTTATAAACGAAAGAAACAAATCATCGTCAATTGGTACAATCATCATCATATTTTATACACCATTATCATAATCCGAACTTCTTATCAAACAACAAACGCAAACACAAAAAATATTACAACTTATAAATTGAGGGCGTACAAGGTAAAAATAAAAAAGACTGCAAAATATATGCGTGGACAGAATATAATGAATATAAAATCAGTTAATGTCTCTCATTTGGGGCATAAAATCGCCGTATTTTATGTACAAAACGAAATGTCTTATATGTATACGAATAGTTTGTCGTTGAACGTGCGCGAATGTTTATTGGTGGGCCGTAAAGGTAAAGCCTGGATATTGCGGAAGTCCCTTTTGAATTTATCAATGAAGTCAAGTTTATTATCTCATATTTTGTTTTCTGTTTATGTGTTGTTGTGCTGTTCTCCTCCTGTTGTTCCATTTTATGGTAATTCTAACTAAATGTTCTCATTAAGAGTTAATCGCAATAAAAGTCAAGTTTTTGTTTGTTTACTTTTCAGCGAATTTCTAGACGCTCTACCACTTCTTCTTGTGCTCATCCATGGATACGCCACCGGGGCCCAAGGATACAATCATGAGCAAGCCACCGATGACGGACAGTGTCTGTAATACGTATACACATAAGCACACAAAAATGTTGTATCTAATCTAAAGAGACTTACCTGGAAGAAGTCATATTTCAAGAAATCCCTGAGCGGTTTGTACGACGGAATAGTCCACCAGGCATTGTGATACAAATTGAGGGCAGTAAGCAGCGCCACCAGAATTAACGCTGACAGCTTTGTCTTGTAGCCAAGCACAACGAGTACCATCAAGGTGGATCCAATAATATCCTGAATAATATTCCACACGCTTAACTCGAAACGGATGAGCGTGATGAACATGAATGCCAACAGTATACGGCCGGCCAACTGCATAAAGTTCTTGGGTTTGTTGTCGCCCAGAGATGGCACGCCCGCAAATAAGCTGCGTCCCTCGATCCGGGCCTCGGCAAGCACCAGCAGCAGAGCACCGATCAGAGCAAAGTTTCGTAGCAAGAACTGAAAGTCCCACAGTATGGAGTAGGCTATTGTCTACAAAAAAAAAAGAAGGAAATAAGAGAGAGACGGAGTATGATCATATACAAGCCACAAATAATATATAATCGATTGCTCGCACCTGTAGCACCACAATGAAAAATAGCAGACCGACCGCAATGTCCACCTTGAATCTAGCCATTACCATACCACAGCCGCCCAGTTGCCCAAACAGATTGGTGAGCACAAAAACGGTGGCCAGAAACTTGCCGCAGCCCCAGCTCATGTCCATGTATTCACGCTGTTCGTTCCATTGGAAATACATGCGCAGGCCATCCTCGAAGAAAGTGGCAATGAGACATAGCCGTGCAACAGTTGGTAGCACATATTTGCCGCGCTTGATAACCTAAAAGTTGAATACAAATAATACAAACAAAATTAATTGATAACAGATTTTCGAGAGCATAATCTATTTACTTGAGTGTCTATGTGTGTGTGTGCTTACGATAGTGCTGTAAAACGAGGTTCGAACAGGAAAATAAATTATGCTAAGCAATCCATTTTTGCCTGATCAATACACTAAGAAAAAATACTGCTTTATTAGCCATAGAAATGCTTTGATAAAATGCAGTATCAAAAAAGGGCTTTATTCCAAAGAAAAATACACTTCATATTAATAATTAATTTAAAACACCTTCGGTCTAATGTAAAAGTTTTTACAACACTATTATTGAATAAATTCAGACCTAAATATTTTATTTTAGATATTCAAAAATTTTGCATTACATTAGAATTTTACGCAAATAAGAGTTAACTCGTTTGTTAACTGGTTTTCTATGAACAAATATTAATTTATATTTTTTTCTTGCATAAATTTGAATTTAATTTGTTTTACTCTGATTTTCCTTAACACTCCAAGCACATTCAATCTTTCATATACAATTATGTATACTTTTCTTCTAGTGTATTTTTCAGAGATGTATGAAATATTTGCGTACGCCGGCAAAGGCATTTGATAAGTGAATGGGAGTGGGAGTTTAAATGTTACTGAAACATCGATAGGGAAGCGTCCACTTAAGTTGATTGTGATAAGGGCACAGAAATTTACAACATGCTGGAGCGTGGCTTTTTTTGACAAGACACTGTTGATTTGGCAAGACAGTGGCGGGGTATGACGTGTCGCTCAGCTGCTCTTCCGCGTTATATTTTATACGAGGCGCTATCTCTGTATCTCTTTCGGCGTGTAACGGGTTTTCATGCCTAGCTCGAGCGATCGCTCAATGCATAATTTGAATATTGAAGCATGCGTTCACACACACTCACTTATTATATCGCATGTATATGTGTGTAAGTGTTTAAGCGGGTTGCCAGATTTTCTTTTCCTAAACTTATTACGGAACTCGCCTAGTTCGAGATGGACGACGCAACATTTATGCCGCTCACTCTCACCACCACTTTCACTAGTATGGACTTAACAGTCACGCACACACACAGAGGCTCGCACACATGCACATCCAGAGCGTAAACGCATATGGCGTATTCTCAGCAATTGCCAATTAGATATGAATTCCTAGCTGCCAGCTGCATTTCACCTATGTCGCTACCGAAATTGATAGTGGACAAAGCTCAGCCAGCAGAAACCCACTTTGGAGCACTCTTTACCAGAAACTGGTGCTTTAATTGAGCTTCGAACTTTGCCGCGTTTGGATGACGTTGGCAGTTTTCTATTGCTTTTACTTTAGGTGACATCGAACATTTTTCCAGTTGGACAGTGGAATATGTTGATTAGACCAATTGCAAATGGTCTCCAAATGGCTGCAGCAACATAATTTACAACTTTCACAGCTTATGATCCTAAGAGAATTACCTGTTCGGCCACATCTTCCGTTTTTGCAATATATTCGTTGGGTATGCTCATATTGGCGGCTGCTGCTGCTCCTGCTGTGCTGTTTATGCGTTATTCCAGGACGACGTCGAAGCTTGCAGCATTCACGTTTAGTTTCAAGACACTCGTAACGTTTATCGTCACTTCGTTCACGAAATTAAAATTAACAAAAACCAGAAAAATCAAAAAACACACAACACGGGCACACAAGGCTGGCAGAGAGAGCCAGATGGGTAAATTGTTATCGATAACAATATGTTTGCGATTACCTGAGACTGGCGATTAATTGACATTTTTATCGTGCAGTACAGCAAAGCGTGCCAGATATTTTTTGTTTTAGAAAAAAAAATAAATAAATAAATAAAGATATACAGTATATATAAATATTTAATATATTAAAGATTAAGTTAAGCACACTGGCAAATGGCTACAGTAATTAAGCGACAAAAGGTAGAAGATGAAAAACCCAGCACTTCAAAACAATGTCGCATAAAAATGAGTAAGGCGAAAAAAAACGCGCAAAACGCAGAATTCTCCACCGACTGGGACGTGGAAGCTTATAGAACGGAGTACGAGAGCGAGGAGCACTGGGAGTTGCGCCGTGACTTTATGCTTGCCCACAAAGATCGCTTTGATGAGGATCGACTGGTGTGTCTGGCACAAACGTTCATCAACATAGAGTTCATGGGCTGCAAATATCCAGCGGAAACCATGCAGTTAGTGGCAGAGCTGTCCAGAGATATTGCGGAGGAGTTTCGCAAGAATCGTGCGCAACGCCTGCAGCGCACATTTGTATCCGCATCGGATGCAGCCGAACAGCGGGCCAAAGGTAGAAGGAACAATAAATAATAGCATTAAATATGTACAGTACAATTAAGGACGGATGAAAATGTTTTATATTACTCGTAAATATATATGAGCCTGAAACCACAAAAGCTGATTACATATTCCAAACAACTAGGGCGTGCCGCTGCCAACAGACCAACGCATTCACAGCAGGAGCGACAAGTGCAAACATCCAGCGTCAGCCAAAATCGCCTGTGCTTCGGCGGCGGCGAGCCACTGAATCTATTTGAAGGCCTGCGCTTTGGAAATCTCATTATATATCTGGCCGGCGGACGCAGTTGTTTGCGCAACGCGTGCAACATAGCCAAAATGAAATACGATGAGCGCCTAAGTGAAACCCAAACGGACGATATGTCCAAGACAGCAGATATACTAATAAACGACGAGATCATAGCCAGCGGCAGGGGCGAGAATCCAAAGGCGGCCAAACTGGCTGCATATAAGCAGGCAGTGCTGCTGCTGCAAACGCACTGCTATAGCATAAAGGTAGGCAATGTCCGAAGGATAAGCCTGTCGTAGCTTAACATTTAACAATCTTTCTCAGTTGAATGCAGCGCGCGAGACCATAAAGGTTGAGAAAAGCAAAAATGGCGTGAACATAAATGTCACCAAGGAGTCGGCTGATAATCTGTGCGACGCCAAGCTGGATGCAAGCAATAAGGGCTATCATATGATGCGTTTAATGGGCTGGACTGGCGGTGGCTTGGGCCGCCAAAAGCAGGGACGCGAAGAGCCCGTGGGGTAAATATTGCCGGCCTTAGCCTAGCTGTCTTCATTTAAACATCTGAATCATTTTTAGTTACCTGTTGAAAAACAATCGCATGGGCTTGGGCTCCAACGATCTACGTGGCAATCTAGCCGATTATCGTAAGCTTATAGAGAACTATGTCAATTCGGAGGATATGCGCGACATGCAATTTGAGCCGACCTTCTCCAAGGAGGAACGCGCCACGTTTCATCAGTAAGCGAATTTCTTTAAACTAATTGCAACTGAAAGCTTATGTCATTTTGTGTGTTTAGGATTGCCGGCAAATTTGGACTGCGCTCCAACAGCTACGGCACTGGCGAGTCTCGACGCTTGCTGATAACTAAGAAAATCAGCTATAATATAATACTTAGCGAAGTGCTCACCCGACGCAACCCCAAGTTCTGCGAACGTTATTTTGTACAGGTGCCCATGCAGAAGGCGCATCTGTTTCCAGGCAATGCGGCCGCGCTGGATTTGGAAAATATAATGGAATAGTTTGACAAATTTCATTCAGTTCATGTATATTGGTATATATAAAGCATTTGCAGCACATAGTATTTAAGTTGAAAAGAGAGAAAAAATACATTTTAAGTATTTTATAACTTTGAATTCCAAACGAGTTGCATACATTCTTGTTTACGTTTCCCAGTGAATGCATGTGCGGCGTAGCTGTTTGAATGGCAGCAAAGAAGAAGCATAGTGCAACAAGAGATGCATTTGTGAAAGCGCATCTTTGTTTGTTTTATTCTATTTTTTTTTCAATTAAAGATACAATTTGCTTGTTAGCTGAGAGAATGGGCAAGTGTCCTCGCTGCAACTGTGAAGCATCTGGACAGAATCGCCTGGTCACTGACAGCTGTGGCCACAGCAAATGCCGTTTGTGTTTGCTGGCAGATGTATCCGATTGTTCCGAGTGCAAAATAACAAGGGCTTTACCAGAAGCAGAAGCAGATCGTCCGGAGCAGCCAGTGACCGTAGTGAAAGCGCTAGCACACACCACCGCTAACCATATAACCAGCACTACACAGGGCTATCACTGCACCGTGTGCAACAAGTCCTTTCGCAGTCGCACACAACAATATTATCATCGTGCCTGCGGCAATGAGCAGCTCAAGAAGTTCCACTGTACGCAATGTCCACGCGTAAGTTGCAGACCGAAAAAGCAATTTAATCTCTGATAATATTATCTGTCTATCTATCTACAGCGCTTTGCCACACGCTCGCATCTGAAGTACCACCAGAACAGCCATGGCAACAATTCCAGCTACAGCTGCTCCATTTGCAACAAACCCTTTAAGCAGCAGCTTCTTTTGCAGCGCCACATGCGCGCCCACAATTTGCCTGCATTTAGCTGCCAAAACTGCCCCAGATTATTCCGCAGCCAAAGTGCGCTGACGGTGCACGCAGCGTTGCACAGCGGCGACAGCTTGCCCCACAAATGTGTTACCTGCTGTAAGCACTATCTAACCAAGGCCAACCTAAAGCAGCACCAGCTAAAGCATGAGCAGAGCACCGCACGGCACAGCTGCAGCGTGTGTAATAAAACTTTCCTGCGCTCGTCCACGCTACGACTGCATCAGAAACGCCATAGCAAGCGTCCACGCCATGCCTGCTCCCAGTGCAACAAGACTTTCAATGATGCGGATGCATTGACGCGGCATATCAAGCAGCATACGGCCATGCAGCACTACCGTTGCATGCAATGCGAGGTCACCGTCAATCGGCGGGACAATATGCTGCGGCATTTGCGCTCCATGCATCCGGGCGTACAGTTTGAGACAGGTGTTCAAGTTATAGAGGCTGAGCCAAGCAATCTGGCCAAGCCAGCTCCAGCAGAGACATCTGTGCAAAATCTGCGCTACAACAGCGTCATCAAAAGTGTGGGAAATGTAGAGCCAGTTATGGTGCCCATATCTCAGCCCGAGCTGGAGCCGGAAAAGACCCCGCCTAATGCAGCGCCGATGCCAGACAAAACGCAAAAAGAGAATGTGAAACTTTATCGCAAAATCATATTAGATTTGGACAACGAGGAGTACTCCAATGAGCTGAGCAACGGCCTGGACATGGACGAGGCGGAGACAGTGGCTAATGCGCAGCAAGTCACGCTTCACACCCAGCCGCAACATCAACGTGTGCCCGGCCAGGGCAGCTCCAACTTCAGGCATTGGCGCAAGAATTTTAAGTACTCCTACGAAAACGAGCATACCAATTAAATAGTATTAGTAAACAGTTTAAGGCCCATTTAGACCCCAAACAAGATGTCAAATGCCTCATTGACATAAAGCATGCGAAAAGAATCTTACAACGAGATCGGCTCGACACACTTATTTATATATAGCTAAATGAAACGCTGGCCGCTTGCCATATGATGCCCTATTCAAGAGTATTATAAATTTGTAACAAAATGTTTAGCGCATATAGAACCATAGTCAAGTTCGTTGGTCTAGTTTTTATGTTATATTGTTGAAATTTTAAAAAGATTCGCTCTCTTGTTTTAGGCACCATATAAGACAGCTGACAAGGGGACGATAAGAGAGAGAGACACCTTAACAAAACTCGTCAACTTCTAGCCTATAAAATTGCAGCGAAATGCGACTAATATAGCTCCTATCAGAACAATATGTTTGACAGAGTATTCAATCGTCGGTACTTCAAAGTTAAGTGTTGGGACTACGTCAATGCCAAGGGTCTGGGCGCCCCATGATGAGCAAAAATATAATATTATCCAAGCAGTATTCAATATGTGGAACGATCGAACGGAACTCGAGGCGCTGTGTGCGATTTATTGCCTAACCGAAGCAGCTGATGCCAAGCCCAACTGGCGAAAACTACTTGAACTGGGCAACACCCTGGAACGGGAGCTAAAGCGTAAGCTGCTGTGGGTATGGCCCACGGCACTGGATCTCAAGAATTTCAATCAAATTCTAAACGAGCTGGCCATACGCAATGTGCTGAGCATAGGCTGCGGCAGTGGCTTGCTCGAGTGGCTGGTAGGCGCTGTTGCCGATCAAGGATTACGCATTTATGGACTCGAAAGGGATCCAAACTGGTGGCGCAGCAAGTATGCGGTGCGCAGCTTTATTCCACTAAACTACATTGAGGAGGCGCGCTCCAAATTGACTGCCCATTTCTTAAGCGACTGTTGCTCGGGCGTTGCGCCTTGTGCTCTGCTCTTCTGTTACTTTAACAATCGCAGCGCATTTTTAGAGTACCTTAGTGTGTTTGAGGGCAAGTGGCTAATATTAATAGGCCCACAGCCCGCAGTGGGCATACACACGGAGCCTAATCCTCTGCAGCCGCAAATACCCGGCGACCAATGGGCGTTACATCAGGTTATCAACTGGACTGAACAGAATTTGGTGGCTGTCTACGAGAAACTGTCTTAATTTATCTGTACATATGAATTTTGTTTATATTTATTATTTATTTATAATACTATGAATAATATATCTAACTTCTATTGACCTCTATATGAAACCTGCAGGCGGGTATTGTCTGCACCTCCGCGGTAACTGTGCTATTGATGCCAAGATTGCTGAGCGCGCCGCGCACCAATCCACAGGTGAAGGCCACAAATTTGGGCGCCTGCTCCAGCTGCTTGGCCCCCGGTGAGATGCGTGTAAGAAAACGGAATGCCTTGTCCTGCACCACGTACATGCCGTGGTTATTGGTGCGTAAATTGTCCACTTGTTTCTTGTAAATCAGTGTCCAAAAGTCGGTGCATATAAATTTCATGGTCTCCAGTTCGTCCTTAAAGCGGGTGACGTCGCGTGTGAGTCGCTCAATCAGGCGATAGCCGGTTGTGAAGCCAATATACTCCAAGGTGGCCAGATCGTGTTGATCCTGGAAAATGACAATGTTTAATAACGAGGCAATAAAGAGGTGAATTGTACTTAAGCACACCTTACTGTTATTGAGGCAGTAGTTGACTATTTCTGCATGTAGGCAATCAAAAACGATTTCCTCCGACATAATGCACACAAAGCTGTTTATTTTTAATAAATTCTATTCGCACTCAACAGCTGACTGCGACGTTGACATGTGAATGGCAAAGTTGCGCTTTGCTTGCCACTGTCAGTGGGTACACACCCCCACTCGACAAATTGATGAAAAAATTAAATTAAGAACAGATATACTCCAAGGTAGCCAGATCGTGCTGATGCTGTAAAACGGCAATGTTTAATAACGAGGCAATAAGAGGGTAATAATATTTAAGCACAACTAACTGTTATTTGGCAGTAGATTTTTTCTGCCTGCTCCGACATAATGCACACAAACCTGTTTATTTTCAATGAATTCTAGTCGCACTCAACAGCTGTCTATGACGTTGACATGTGAATGGCAAAGTTGCGCTTTACTTGCCGCTGACAGTGGGTAGACACTCCCGCTCGACAAATTGATGTACACAAACTTTATGGCTATTAGAAAAAAATTATATTAATTAAGAGAAAACGAGGCGTGCGGTGCATTCGTTTGTAACATGGTTAGCCTGGATTTGCGGCAAAGCTCAACACTGCACAGCCTGGTCTGCCAATCGATCCTAGTGCTGTTGTGCCTAATCTGTTACGGCTACGGCGGCCTGAGCAGCGCTAAGTTTGTGTTTGATGACACTGTGGCCATAGTTAAAAACAAAAATGTCAATACGCTGCCCACCAATTGGACGGCCATCTTTAGCCACGACTTTTGGGGTGCGCCGCTGTTAAGCGCAGATTCACACAAATCCTTTCGGCCGCTGACAACGCTCATGTTTCATTACGAATACGCCTTGCTGGGCTTAAATGCTGCTCACATGAAGTTTTTGAACCTGCTGCTGCACTGCGTGAACACATTGCTCATATGGCGCTTGGTGCGGTCACTGTATGTGGAGGATATAGACATCGAGCGCTGGGCTACCATTTCAGCAGCACTGTTTGCCGTACATCCAGTGCACACGGAGGCAGTATCCGGCGTAGTGGGCAGAGCGGAGCTCATGTTCGGCCTGATACACCTGCTCTGTCTGCTGCTGACAGTGGCCAGCGCGGACAAGCAACAGGGCGTGAGCAGCGTTAGCCTCATCCTGCTGCTCACGGCTATGGGCATGCTTTTCAAGGAGACGGCAATAACTATACCGATATCCTGTGTGTTGTTGGACTACTTTCAGAATGGCACCTACGTGCTGCCGCTGAAGCTGCAGCAGCGGGTTATCACCAGTCGACTGCGCTACGTGTTTTACCTCTGCGGTACGCTGTTGCTGCTGCTGTTGCGTCTCTGGTGGCAAAACTTTGAGGCGCCCGAGTTTAAAGCCGTCGACAATCCCATTGCACATAACGAGCAGCTGCTCACGCGCGGTCTGTCCCAGCAGTACTTGTATGTGGTCAACTTTTGGCTGATGTTATGCCCACAATGGCTGTGCTTCGACTGGGCGCTGGGCTGCGTTAATCTGGTTACCAGCATTTGGGATATGCGTCTACAGGCAGTCATTGCATTCTACTCCTTTATAATCGTCTCCTTGATGAACTTTCGACGCTTGGCAGGACTTATGCTGGGCCTGGCACTGATGATCATTCCGTTTCTGCCCGCCTCGGGCATTATACGCGTTGGATTTGTGATTGCCGAACGTACACTGTATGTGCCTTCGATGGGCTTCTGCTTGATGTCCGTATATGGCTTCCTCTACTGTTACCAGAACTATGCAAACAACAGCTACTGCCGCGCGGCGCTTCAGGCGCTACTCATGCTGCTCTTTACTGTGTTTATGTTGCGGACGCGGCAGCGCGCTGCACAGTGGCTAAACGAGGAGCAGCTATTCAGCTCGGCGCTGCAGGTGTGCCCCAACAATGCCAAGGTGCATTACAACATAGCACGCCTTGCCACGGACACCGGCAACATCAGCAGGGCTTTCCACCATTACCACAAGGCTGTCGAGCTGTATCCGGAGTACGAATCGGCGCTCATGAATCTGGGAAATCTGTACCGTGAGAATGGACAGCTACAGACAGCTGAGAAGTATATACGCGCCGCATTGACCGCTTATCCAGCGTTTCCGGTGGCCTGGATGAATCTGGGCATAGTGCAGTCGGCACAAAAGAAGTACGACCAGGCGCTGGACAGCTATAGGCAGGCCTTAAAATATCGCTCCGACTATGCCGTCTGCTACTATAACATGGGCAATCTGTTTTTGGAGCAGCACCAATATGCCGAAGCACTGCATCATTGGCAACATGCGGTCGCCGTCAATCCACGGCAGCCCAAGGCCTGGGCCAATATTCTAACCATGCTCGATAATCGCGCCATGTACGAGGATGCGTTGCGCATTTCGGAACAGGCTCTTGTCCAGTTACCCAACGAACCGAGTATCATATTTATACGCGCCAATGTCCTGGGCAAGATGAGGCACTACCTGGAGGCGGAGACGCTCTATAAGCTCGTCATTGAGCTCGATCCAAAGAATATGCTGTATCACACGAATCTCGGTGTGCTCTACCATCGCTGGGACAAAGTGCAAGAAGCCATCGAATGCTACCAGACTGCCATTAGCATCAATTCCTTGCGTGCGACAACGGCACGGGAAAATCTTGGCAAGCTCTTAAAGCGCTTAAACCGCGAAACATACAAGGAGTCACAGTAAGCAAGGCTTTCTTGCCTAATCTAAGTGTAGACATCTGGTCATTGGCGTAAGTTGCATCCAAATTCATAACATTCCTCTATCTAAGACCAAAGCGACAGACAGAACAGTATGAAACGTAATGGAAAGTGCAAGCGTGATATTATATTTCCTAACTTTCGCTTTAATTATTGTCCCAAACTTTCCAGACAATCGCTGATAATTATATTCTATGTGTTTGCTTCTCAAAGTTTACAAATGCCGTGAAAAAAAAGAATACCCACCTCTACCGAAAATCTATTTGTAATTGTCAGCAAAACGTTTACGAATGGGTCACAAAATAGATAAATTAAATACTCCATCAAGCCAGTCAAGCCGGGAATGTTTTTATAAACCAATCAGTCATATATTTCGAACTGTTTGTATGATATCAAGGCTGCCTTATCAACAACAACACAACTTGGACAAACAAAAAATGTTTCTTTTTTCATTAAACTAAACCAAAAAAAAAAGAGAGTGGTTTAAAGTTTCTATTAATGTTTGCGATTGTTTGGCGTCCGTCCACACAAATTCTCCATATCATATCTCATAGATAATACCGATCTCTCTGACGACTTCGATCAATAGATCAGATCCTCTGAATCTTAACTCTTTGATATTAAATTAGAATTAATTGAAAGTAGCTAAGTAAAATTTGTATCTAAATATTAAGCTATATATTTATTATTTGATTTTGTATGTAAGGGTATTTACAATTAATATTAAAACTAAATAATGTTCGAACAACTAGATGAAAAACATAATTTAATTACAATCTAAGACATAAGGACTACACATAAATACTTTCGAGAGCAGGCGAAAAACTTGTTGAATCAATTCCATTCGCATTACAAAATAATAATACCGAGAATTACATAAACTATATATAGGAATAATGTTGACAAACACACACAATCAGAGCGAAACACAGGCAAACTGAAGGCACCAAATAAAAATGATTTAAATTCGAATGAAATCAATTTGAACAAAGGTCGCAAATTGTAAGCTAATCACAATGCATAAAAAAATAATATGATAAGCAACTGTGCAATTTATATGTATATGCATATGTATGTGTGTTTGTAAATGTATAATAACAAAGTCTTTGTTGTTGAGATGCACGTCTGATGTTTAGTTTTAGGCGAGCTGGCCAGCGAGCAACGGCGAGACAAGTTACTTAGCAATTAGCACAAATTATAATAATTACAAATAATCATAAAGAAATGAAAATAATATAACACAGTTTGCACAGTAACCAAGGCTGTGAACGAGGGGTATATGTTAGAGAGGACATTGGGTTGTTGGGCAATCAAGACTTGTAGCTATATATATATATAGTTTTTGGAGGCTGCTTTAGAGCAGCACAAACTCCTCGCTTTCGCTATCATCCGGATCATTCTCATAACTATGCAGCTGCGCTGAGGCAGCACCATCTTCCAGCTCCTGGGTCAATGCCGCCACCTGTCTGATGAGTGGCTTGTAGAGCGAATCGCTCATTTCATCGCGCGCATGATCCAAACAGCGACCACGCGAGAAGGTAAACAGCGGATAATTTATTTCAATTTGCTCCGTTTGTGGCAGCTGCTGCTGCTGGGATTGTGCTGCTGTTTTGTCCAAGGTAGCGCCAGAGGCGCAGCGCATTGGATGCAAATACTGTGGCAGAAATGACTTATATTATAGTTGCACCAGTCTTTGGATAAATCTTGCTCCACTCACCAATTGCACGCTTTCCATAAAGCTATCGAAATCCGTTTTGGTGGCACAATAAAAACCAATGCAGCAGCTGGGATCCATTTTGCTGGATTTCAATTTGCGTGGCGATTTGCAGTGAAATGACTGCATAGAGAATGTCTCCTGATTAACATCAACCATCTCCTGGCAGTAATGGGGATCCAGGTGGATCAGTTTGTCCTCCTGAAAACCCACAAAGTATAGCGAATGCTTGGGCTTGCCGCCAATAATCCCCAGGCAGTGCTCTGTGCTGAGCAGCAGCTTCAGGCAGTGCGCATAAACAGGATTTAACTTGTCTGTGCCTAGACGCAACGGTATCAACACAATCAATGATTTCCAATGCTGCTGTGGCTGATCAAGCTTCGGCGCATCGCTAGCCGGTTTCTTGCTCGTCATCTGCCAAGGCACGTGCGGCTTAGGAGCCGGCTCGGGTATGCTGCACTGCTCCTCAATATCTTGCATGTAAACTGTAAAGGCAGATGTGAAAGTGCATGCAGGATATATACATAGCAGAATATAGCTTACTGGTGCAATCCTTGGCCACGTATACGCTTATATTGTCAAAATCGGCATTTTCTTGAGCAGCATGCTCTAAGGCGTGTCTGTGGACAAGAGGTACTTAATGAGTGCAACACATCACAACATAGAATTGGCACTCACTTTAATAAATAGGAGACCGAAGCGGGGCCATACCAGTCGCCTGGCTTCTTGCCTAGTTGCTCGCCCAGGCGTACCAGCGCGTGTATGGAAAAGGGGCTACTTTTCGAGGAACTATCGCCAAACCACTTGATTATCTTCTTATGCATATTATCTTCATAAGTGGAGTGGAGTTGTGATTCCGCATCATATCGCCAGCCTGGATGAAAAAATCGGCATTAGGAGAGATCAATGCCTAGTTGGAAGTGTACTTACTGCGACCCAGAAAGTGACAGATTAGGCCCTGCGCAAGCAGCATTTGACCGCTGCGCAGCATGCAGCCCCAGCCGCAATCCGAGGTATAGTTGGAGCCATTCATAATGGGAAATTCACGGCGATAGGTCATCCAGATGCGGCTGTAAAAGTCACGACGAAAACCCTCAATGCCCTCTTCCCAAGGACTATCGGCCATTTGATTCTCAGCCGCATCCATGCCCAGCTCTTGGGGCACCACAATCTCATCAATTTGCTGCGGATTTAATGTGGGATATATGGAGGAGGATGTGGCCGTCGCTGGTATGCTATCAAACGCCGAAGTGGCATTATCTGGCGTGGTGTCAGCAGCGCTGAGCAGCTCCGTGGTCGAGTTTTCCATGCTGACGGGCGGCGTATACCGTCGATGATAGCAGCGTCCCAGCAGCCAGACTGGCTGCTCCTTTGAGAAGCTGGTCTGGCGCATCTTGCCCGTCCAACCATACTTGACATTGTGCCACATAGCCACCAGCTTTGACTCCATGCCCTTGGTAGGCGTGCGATTCGCCGCCAGCTCCGGATCATCGTTATGCAGCTCCGGGTGACCGCCACCGTTGTTGTTGCTATTGCTGTTGCTATTGCTATTGCTATTGCTGTTACCGCCATAAAGCTGACTAAAGGCATTCATGAAACGTGATGACGTCGATATTTTGCGCTGTGGTGTCGCTGTCGCAGCATTTTCCAATTTCGGGTATAGGTTTGCACTTGTCGCAGGTGCTGAAGTTGCTGACGCAGCAGCAACAGCAGTGGCAGCAGTAGCGGCAGCTACGGCTGTATGGGGTATTGTTTGTATTGGGGCTGCCTGCTCCTCCTCGATGGCGCCATCCTCAACGTCGCCCTCGACCAGGGCGGCGGCACCTTGGTCACTGGTCTCGTAGATTACCAGCTTTTCATCGGTCAACTTGGAGAGCAGTCCATCATAGTTCATCTGTTTGGATTTGGAAGCCGATGAGCGACGGCGCTTTGTACGTATTTTAGATAATTTAAAAAACGAGGGCATGGCACAGACAATTCAGTGTGAGCCACTTGCTGGCTCTGATACCACTGAATCATAAGCATTCTGCTGCCGTGTGGTGCTGATTACCGATATTTACTCACCATTTATTTGTTTAAATATGAGAATGATAAAGTTAAGCTTTAGTTTTCTGCGTGTTGGTACTCGTATTCATACGTTTATGCGCAGCACAGACACGATAAGTTCTGTTTACGTTTATGTTATGCACATGAAATCACGAACAGTGAAAAGTTAGCTGATTGCGTTTATTAACTTTTCGATTTAATTAGTTGATAGTATTTAAATATATTCTAAACCAATATTATAATTATAATAGACATTAGATTATGCTGTTCTAAGAAACCCATGGCAAACAATTATATATTCGTAGAAAACATTGTGTTAAGACTTATCCCAAGCTGTTTCATGGCATAAACTTTTTATATGCGTTTTGCATTGTTCTGTACAGGTGCAGAGTTGCCACCTGGCGCATATTAGATGCAACTCTATTTTAATCTGTTTATTCACATGATGCGTTCTATTTAATGCTGCAACTGGTATAAATACAGCGCATTTGTAATTACTCTGTGTTTGCATAACTACGAAATACAATTTGCTTTAAATAAAATTTGAAAAAAAGAACTCCATTTATTCTATACTTAAATCGCTGCGTACGGCAACACTGTATAAATCGACTGTTTTGTTATTGCGCAACTCGCTGTGCGGAGGGGTAAAAATAAAATAAAAAGGAAATTCAAAATGGTAAATAATGCAAATGAACACATAATTAAATTTCCAATTAGATGCTAACTTAACGCGCAACAGCAAAATCCAATTCAAAGGTTAGCCTACACGTTCGGTCATCGTGCCTATTCCCAATTGCCACTGCTCTGCGCTGCCGGTGCAAGAACAACAGAAATAACAATTAAAATGCCGATGGCAAACTCCACGCGCCTCTCCTCATCCTCCGTGCTGGCCACGGAATCATCCAACAAGGGCATGATCATTATAAACAGGCCAAAGGCCTTGAATGCCATCAATCTTGAGATGGTGCGCAAGATATACAAGCATCTGAAAAAATGTGAAAAGTCGAAATCGCTGATGATTATCAAGGGTACTGGTGATAAAGCCTTCTGTGCGGGCGGCGATGTGCGTGCGCTGGTTGATGCCGGACCCACGGATGAATCAAAGAGCTTCTTTCGAGAGGAGTACACAGCCAATGCATTGATTGGCAACTACAAGATACCCTACATTGCACTCATCGATGGCATTACCATGGGCGGCGGCGTTGGACTCAGCGTCCATGGAAAATATCGTGTGGCTACCGATCGTACGTTGTTCGCCATGCCCGAGACGGCCATTGGACTGTTTCCGGATGTGGGCGGTTCATATTTCTTGCCACGCCTCCAGGGAAAACTTGGCTTGTATTTGGGCCTGACAGGCCATCGATTACGTGGCGCCGATGTCTATTATGCGGGCATTGCCACACATTACTGCGAGGGCAGCAAAATAGCCGAACTGGAACAAGCACTGCTCAACTGCCCGGATGCCGATGAAGTGCCTGACATACTGCAAAGGTTCCACTGCCAGCCGGAGAAACCATTCTCCTTACAGCCCGTGCTGGAGCAGATTAACAAGCACTTTTCGGCCAGCTCCGTAGAGGGAATACTTGAGAGTCTGCAGAACGATGACAGCGATTGGGCGAAGAAACAGTTAGAGGTCAGTATTCAGCACATAAATAGGTGATAAGCGACGGGCGGTCCAACTGCTAATTGGCTGCGGCAATCAAAATACCACGCGCCCAAAGCGCATAAATATTTAAACAGTATTATATAAGGAGTATAAATCTTTGTTAATTAGCGCCTCGTTGTTAATGCCACGTTTTCACACAACAAGCACTTGAATTAGCAACCGCGACTAAAATACCACATTTATTTATTTACATACCATGTGTAGATCCTTTGCAAAGTGTCGCCGACATCCCTGAAGGTAACCTTTCGCCAGCTGGAGCTTGGCGCACAGATGTCGCTGGCCCAATGCTTGATCATGGAATATCGCCTCGCTGTGCGCCATTTGGAGCCGCGCGCTGACTTCAAGGAGGGTGTTCGCGCACTCCTCATCGACAAGGATCAAAAGCCCAAATGGCAACCAGCCACGCTAGCCGAGGTCACCGAGGAGCATTTGCAATGGTTCTTCAACAAACTGCCCGACACCGAGGAGCTCAAATTGTAATGTAGCTGCAGTTTGCGTAGTTTATAGCCCGCAAATTCGTTTCTGCTTCAGTTATCCTTCGTCTTCCTGTTATCCTGCACCATTCTACAAAGCCAATGCTTTAACATTTCCAATTTTTATCACCATTCAGTTGAGCATGCATTTTTTTATCTGCCTGATATCTTTTGCAAGATGTTTACAGCGAGTCCTGCTAAATCTCTGAAATCTCTTTTATCTCTATTCCAAACAGCGACTAAATCATGGCCAACATGTATTTACCCTTCTAACGAGCGTGAAATTTGATGCATTTATATTTTATACATATATATTTTATATACAGTTATGTAACAAACACTATTTGTGCCTAAAGAAACAGTAGCAATCAATTAACAGTAAATAAATTGTAGAATGTATATATATTTAGAAATACATTTTTTTTAATTGTAAGCCGCCTACGATGCGCCCTCTTTTGGCTTTATGCTGTCCTCCACCATGCTGGACAGCTCGAGCAGCTTGTCAATTTGCGTGGGCTTAAAGTTAAGCTTGCTTAGCTCCAGCGTCCAGGCGGCCACATCCACGCGCAGCTGCAGGCGTATCTTATCATCATCCGATACGGAAGCTATGCTGCCACTGGCAGGCGCATTAGACGAGGCGCCGCTTTTAAGATTGCGCAGACGACGCAAAGATTCCTCGGTTTTCTGCACAGAGGTAAGCACATCGCTAACCACATTATAATAGCTGTTTGGAAAGAGAGTCAAATGAATAATGGCTACTTTTGAATCTTGCGTACGTTACTTACGCCTTGGTTATGTTGCTGCAAACCTCTGCCAGTATCTGCTCCACCACCAGCGTGCCCAGCTGCGCCTCGTGCTGTGCTGCAAACGCCTTCAGTGGCCGCAGCATTTGCTCCACGTAGCTGGAGCAACGCGTGGGCACATCGCGATTGGTCTTACGGTACAGACGTGGCAAATCGTTGACCTGACGCACATTCTCCGTGCCGCATTCCGTAATTAACAGTTGCTTTAAGGTCTCCTGTATGCTGATCAAATGCATGTCCAGTGTATCGGCCAAGTCAGCTATGGACTTGCCCAAAACATTCTTGAATAGGGACAGATTTTTCGTTTGGGGCGCCGATTGCGAGATGAGCTGCTGCAGCTCCGGCAAGTAGGCTTCCAGCTTACGCGTGTCGGTATGCAAAGCAATTAACAATTGATTCCTGGTGTAAGCTTTTGTGAAGCTGCTGCTCTTGGCGGCATTAATGGTATCCGTGATCCAGCGCGAGAGGCGTAAAATAATTTGCACGTTAAGCTTGTAGAATTTCGGAAACACCTCAGGCAAATAGACGCCCTCGGCCCAGCAGCGCGTTAGGGCCTGTTTGGCGGCGTTAAAGGGCTTCAATTGATATGCATCCAACTCCGGCTGGACCTGCAGCGTGTCATCGTTAAGCAAGGGCTCCAATTGCGCCTCAAGGTGACCGGCAATTTCCTGCAATTAAAAAATAGAAAATTAACTCATTTGTGGCTAAGCCTTCGCCTTAGCTTACCTGAAAGCATATTTGAAAGTAAACGGGCAGATTCCAGCGCGCCTGAAAGCTCTTGGTTTGCTTGTGCTGGCGATAGGAGGCGACAGCCTGTTCGCCGCTGCTCGTAAGCAACTCCTCAATCTTGGCCAGAAAGTCGCGTGTGCATTTGTATTTGACATAGAACACCTCCGAATTGCCTGGCGCAAATATCGAATTCATGTGTAGCTCCAGACGCATCTCAACGTCTGCCCAGAAGCTGTTGACCACAAAATTAAAGCCGCACAGTTTGTCCGAGTAGAGCGTTAGCCGCAGCAAATCCGCCATGTGCAGTGATATGAAGTTTAATATCTTGCTATAAATGCCAGCTAGACCCTGTGGTGAATTCTGCAGCTGCTGCTCGCCAATGATGTTGCCCATATAGGGCGCAACAACATCTTCGCGGAAGGCGCGCTCCGCACGGCCGCATGCATCCAGCGTGATGTAGATGCGCAGACAGCGCTCCAAGTGCTCTGGGGCCGCGTTGCGCGCCTGCTGCAGTGAATCGTTAAAGAAACGACGCAATTGCTGATGCACTTGCTCCTCAACCTGTTGGATTGTAGACCTCTGCTCATTGCCCAGCTGAGCGTCGCAGTGCTTTTCGTGAAACTTCAACTGTATTAAGTCGAGGGCGGCACGCTCCAAGTCTACAACCTGGGCGGGCTCTTCACCGCTCAGCTTGTTGGAAATCAACTCCTGCAGTTTTGCAATGATCTCATACACCTTTTTTAGGCTCTGCAAACTGCGATGAAATTCACGCAATTGGCGCTTCTCCTCCAGCTGCGCCCGCAGCTCAACCACATTATCCTCGATCAGGCTGTGTATGCCAGCAATTTCACTGCGGACTTGCTCCAGCGGGCATTGTATGGTATTAATAGAGTGATCCAGACCCACCAGATTGGCACTCAAATTTACAAAATCTGCATAGTCCTCATTGATCAGATCAATCATGGCAGCGCGCAGTCCTTTCAGGTAGAGGCCCAGGTTATCACGCAGCTGCTCCAAGCTAGGTGCATTTCGATTCTTGTGCAAAAACTCGTCCACGGAGAAATTTTCCTACAAAAAATAAGCTAAAGCAAACATTTTTTGCCAGGCATGTTATTTGGCCGCATACCTTCATAAACTCATTTTTGTCAAAGCAAAGCTTTTCGGCAGTGCTTGTGCCGCCGGATACGGACGGCCTCCTTGCAGGCTCATGCATTGCGGGTACCACCTTCAAAAATAGTTTAAGACAATTTTAAAATAATTGCCACGAACGAACAGCAGCAGGCAGCTTCATCAGGCATGACAATCGATAGTCGATAAATAAAAAACGATTTTGTTTAACAGCTGTTGAGCTGACAGCTGTTACTTGTGGTACACTTGTACCCAATTCTGTACTAAGTAATGGATATAAAAAAGGACTGCAAGACAATTTTATAATTGTTTTTTATAATTTTTGTTTTAGCTAAATACTTTATTTACTTTTAATACAATGCGTAACCGTTATTCCTTAAAACGGTACATTTTTGTGTGGCAACCGTGTTGGTAGTAAAGTACAAACGGGTGGCAACTCTGCGTTACAAATTGGCTTGTCGTAAATTCTTGCCGGTTTTATTTACAAACAAGTTGAAAAATGCCGAAAAATCCAGGCTATCGCAACAAAAATAATGCACCACGCAAGCGCCAGGTGCAGCTGGACGAACAGAATCCAGTTGTGCTGGCCTTTCGCAGCTATGCCAGCGAATTGGACAGCAAACACGATCGTCATGAGCGCATATTGAAATTGAGTCGCGACATTACAATCGAATCAAAGCGCATTATATTTTTTTTGCATTCCATTGATGCGCGCGAGGAGAATAAGGCCAAAGTGCTGGAGGAAGCTTTGCAGCGTTTGACCAAACTTATCCAGGTTAATTTTCGCGCCATCGCCTTGGAGCTGCGGGATCAAGATGTTTATCAATTCCGGGCAGCCTACTCGCCCGGACTGCAGGAGTTCATAGAAGCATACACGTACATGGAGTATTTGTGCAACGAGGACAACGCCGAGCACTCTAAGCCGGTGTCCGACTGGTCTGCCCTGCAGTCGGTGATGCAGTATGAAGTTGAGGCTAACCAAGAGCCCGTGAAGGAGGAAAATTTGCCCATATCCGGGGATCAAACGGAAGTCAAGGCCATACAAAAGTTTCAGTTTTTTGTTGATCCGACAGAGTATATTTTAGGCGTTTCGGATTTAACGGGCGAACTGATGCGCCGCTGCATCAACTCGCTGGGCAGCGGTGACACGGACACCTGCATGGAGACTTGCAAGGCATTGCAGCAGTTTTACACAGGGTATGCCATCTGCGTATCAAGTTGCTTATAAATATTCTTATATATATTTTTGTTTCCACTTGCAGCTACATCAGTCTGAACTGTCAACGTGCCCGGGAATTGTGGCGCAAAATAACCACAATGCGTCAGAGCATGCTGAAGGCGGAGAATGTGTGCTACAATGTAAAGGTGCGCGGTGGCGAGGCGGCAAAATGCGCTAACTTTGATCAGAAGCCGGCTGACGATACCGATGAGGGTTTTTATTAAAATATAGTATCCGCCTTTAATCAGCAAAAAATATATAATGATTCATAAATATGTAGAGATAAAAAAACATGAATTTTAAAATGTGTTAAATGCATTTATGATGTGTAAACGTGCATGCTCTCATTCGGATTTTTAAACTACTTAATACAATTTTTCAAATGAAATAGTTTACACTTGCATATATATAAATATATCCACTATTTTGTTGTTTTGTGTCGGATTTGTATATTTAAGAGGTGTGGCAACTGTGACTCTGCCGTTAAGTACTCAGCTAAAGTAACGAGTACCCGACTTTCGCCGATCTGCAGTGAAATGCGTTGGGTCTGGCAACTCCAGTAATGTTGATTGCGGTTCCGATTGGGATTTTACCAGTGCAACAAGTTATTCTACTAAAATAATTTCACTTGTTGCCATACTACATATGCATATGTATGTAAGTGTCGTCAAGACTTGCATGAATCAGCAAAGTCTTTGCCAAATACGGCCGTTGTTGCAAGATGAACGTGGCAGCAGAAGACAGGGCTAGCGACAGTCCATCCAGATCGGGTCGCGAGGACAACTCCATGCCCATAAGACTTTTGCCAGAGACTGTGCGGCAGCACCTGTGCGAACACTTGGACTCACTGGACGTGTGGCAGCAGTTGGCGGCGTTTGTGAAACTCTATCCCAACGATGTGCAGCACATACAAAACTTGAGTGCACGCGGGCGTTCTCCTTCAAATGAATTCCTCAATATTTGGGGAGGCCAATACAATCACACGGTCTACAGCCTGTTTGCGCTATTCCACAAGTGAGCTACTGCTGCAACATTTAGTGGCAGGTTTTCTCTAATCTCTCTTACGTCTTGCAGAATGAAGCTGCACAATGCTATGCGAATTATTAAAGATTATGTTGACGAAAAATTCCACAAGTATATTCCGCGAAGTACGCCCAATATTAGCGAGCTGCGTGCGCCGCCCAACAGCAGCTCTAAAATTAATAATGGACCACCGTATGCCTCCTCATCGGGTGTCACGGAAGATAGCAATAGCAATAGTCTGGAATCTCCGGGTGATATACGAGTTAGTAGCGTACAACGCGCCGCCCAATCTCTGCTAGAAATCGACTACGAGGAACTGGTGATTGCTACACAAAACTGGCGCCCAGAGAACAAATTAGGTAACGGTGGCTTTGGTGAAGTCTTTAAAGGCGAATGGAAGCAGCTTGCCGTGGCCATAAAGGCAATGAACTATATTCACAAACACAACGACAAGACTCAAGTGCATCTGCAGCAAAGCTACAATGAGTTGAAGTACTTGAATACCATAAGACATGACAATATTCTGGCGCTCTATGGCTACAGCATCAACGGGGAGAAGCCTTGCCTGGTGTATCAGCTAATGAAAGGCGGCTCGCTGGACTCCAGACTCAGGGCACACAAATCAAAGCAGCCGCTGCCGCCGTTGACCTGGCAGGAGCGCCTCTGCATAGCCCTGGGCACAGCCAAGTAGGTAGAAGCATTACCATTGACATATTTCTATTATCTCATATATCAATTATTCCACAGAGGCATCTACTTTTTGCACACGGCGCGCAGCAAGCCACTAATACACGGCGACATCAAGCCCGCCAATATACTGCTGGACCAGTGCCTGCAGCCTAAGATCGGCGACTTTGGTTTGGCGCGTGAGGGCCCCAAATCAATAGATGCAGTTATGGAAGTACGACAAGTCTTTGGTACCAGAATTTATCTGCCGCCAGAGTTTCTCAGCTCCAAAAAGCTCAGCACTGGCGTGGACATCTATAGCTTTGGTGTTGTGCTGCTCGAGGTGTTCACAGGCCGCCTAATGGCGGAATGCATGCACCAAAATGATCAACAAAATCTGCTTAAGTATGTCAAAACCAACTGCCTGCAATCGCATCAGAATCGCTTGGAGATCTTTGACAAGCATCTGGTCACGCCCATGGGCGATGAGCTAGATAAATGCCTATGTGCCATAGAAGTGGGTCTCAAGTGTGCGGCCGCAAATCCACAGGACAGACCCTCTATGGATGAGGTGGTCAAAAGGTTTAAGACATTCAGCAGCGACTCTTAATATATGTTTAGCGCAAAAAGCATTCCAATATATTTTATTTTTTACACGTATGTCACGACTTTTGTTATTGTAATATTATATACATACACTCCTTAATAATATATAAAACCAAAACTTTAAAATACCCTATAATTCTGGACTATATATGTATATCAAACACAGATACCTGTGTCCTGTCGAAAATTATAAGAGATAAAGACACGAATCAAAAGTTTTCCACTTTTTAGATACAACCCTTCGAACATCGATGTTACCCAAAAATTAAAATGCCTCCATATATAACATGCCGTGCCTACCTTATAAGTCAAGTGGTTGCTGCAGCCCCATTTCGAAATCCCACTCGTAAATGTGACGAAACGTTTTGAATCTAGCGTCAATCCAGTTACTTGTGCTTGCGTCAGAATAAGAAAAACAGATGTACATATTTTGTTAATAATTTTCGTTTTAAGTAGAACACAGGATAGCTCAATTTGTTTTTCCGACTGATAAACAATGAATTTAAAAAATTCCAAGTTTTACAAAAGAATTCAGGAGCTGCGAAACTTCTCAAAAGAGAAACTACGTAAAGATCGAGAGCAACGGGGCTTACGCACCCCAGTCATACGTGGCGTGGAAATGGCACTATCCGAGTCCAAATGCAGCAATCGAGTTGTTGAACTGGAATGGTCCCAGCTGGCATCACCAGTCAAAGAGTTGACTTCACCGCGCCGCCGCAAATTGGCCAGCAAGAACAAGCCGAGCAAGAAGAGGCCACTCATGGCGGGAGATGGACGCTCAAAAGGGGGACATGGCTTCCGACCCGTGAAGACCGTCGGCTCGGATAATGAGGCACCGGTTACAGAAGGTTTCATAGATTTAAATAGTTTGCGCTATCGCGTTGCCTGTTCGGGACGTCCAGGGAGCTCTCCGCGACACGACGAAAGACCAAAAATTAGGTGAGTCTATGGAACAGTTTTGGCCGTGCTTAACCACACCCCCACAATCCGCAGCGATTCCAAGAGCGCAATTTGCGTGTCCAATTCGCGCTACGCTATGATTGGCCGTATATCCAAGTCGTTGGGTTTTAAGCTGGTCAAAGAGTGCAAAATGTGGAACATACTGTGGTCCGATTCGTTTCCCGGTGTGGAGCTCTTTAAGAATATGAAACGCTTTCAGCAGATTAATCATTTTCCCGGCATGATCGAAATTTGCCGCAAGGACCTGCTCTCACGTAATTTAAATCGCATGCTCAAATTGTATCCCCACGATTACAAAATCTTTCCCAAAACCTGGATGCTACCAGCTGAGTAAGTCTCATATGTCTTTTAAGTGCAAGGCTGCAAGCCGGTTATGAATCCAACCGACTCGACTCCAGAATTTCAAATCATTCTTCAACAACCAAGCCAGTGTACTTGAGACCTATCTATCCCTTAGTTATGGCGATGCCATGCACTATGCTCAGAACCATAAGCGCACATTCATCTTAAAGCCGGACTCGGGCGCTCAGGGGCGTGGCATTTGGCTGACAAACGATCTGAAGACTATTGGACCCAACGAACGTCTCATCTGCCAGACCTACATACATAGAGTAAGGAATTGGTACTTTAATGTCCAACCATATTCCCATTCTTTTTTTTCCAGCCGCTTCTCATAGATGGCTACAAATTTGATTTGCGGGTTTACACATTGATAACCTCCGTGGATCCGCTGCGGCTGTATGTCTATAATGAGGGCCTCGCCCGTTTCGCAACCAACAAGTATGTGGAGCCCACTCCGGGCAATGCCAACGATCTTTACATGCATCTCACCAACTATTCGGTGAACAAACGTAATTCCCAGTACGATCTGTGCGACAACGATGACTGCGGCAGCAAACGGAAGCTGAGCGCCATCAACAATTGGATGACCAGGCATAACTATGATGTCAATGAGTTCTGGTCCAATGTGGATGATGTCATCATTAAAACCGTGCTGAGCGCGTGGCCAGTGCTGAAGCATAATTATAATGCCTGCTTTCCGGGCCATGATACGATACAGGCTTGCTTTGAGATACTGGGCTTTGACATATTGGTGGACTGGAAGCTAAAGCCTTATATATTGGAAGTGAATCATTCGCCCAGCTTTCATACCAACGAGCAGGTGGATCGTGAGGTGAAGCGGCCGCTCATCAGGGATACGCTGACTCTGGTCAGCACCGTGTTGGCGGATAAGAAGCAAATCCTGCGCGAGGATCGGAAACGTGTCAAGCAGCGTCTGCTCAAATCCAAGGGTGACACGTGAGTAATCTGTCTGGGGAAAAATAAAAAACTCTAGCAACCTTTAGCTTCGCAATTGCAGTGTGCAACGCTCTCGTGTCGTAGCTGGCGCCTCGAAGTTAACGCCCAAGAAGGAAGGCAGCCCGACAAACAAGGAGCAATCACCGGATCCGGAGATCGGTTCGCTGGCGCAGCAAATCGCCTGGGAGGAAAGCCATATGGGCAATTTTAGACGTATTATGCCGCCACCAGATGCCAGCCGCATCAACTACTATTGCAAGTTCTTTGGGCAGACAAATCAGGTGTCCATTTTTCAGGAGACGGCTGCCAGCAAAAAACGCGAGGATCTGGCGCGCAAGATGCGTCTACAGATCGAGGAGAAGAAGGCCAAACAGGAGCAAATGCTGCTCTCTCGCAGCAAGCGCAAACGTTTGATCCAGCCACGTTTGGCGCGCGAGAAGCATCGTCTGAACCTCTTTCGACTCAAGGAGAACTGGGCGCCCGGTTTCGTATCGGAGGCGGAGGAGCGCTTGCGTAATACCTGGCAGCAGATGCGCACAGAGGCCATCAGGAATCTAAAAATCACAGAGAACGTAAGAGTTGTTCTTCATCTATATTTAGTTCCTGCCATAACCATAAAGTATATATATTCCTGATCAGTATTATGGCCAATAGCCAACAGATATAATACATTTTGTTGTAGGCAGCAGTGTAAGAGTCGGACAGATCTGATCCCTCTATCATATATGCGTCTATATACATATGTCTATATATAATATAAGAAAACAAAGATCTGAACTTCCCTCAATATAAGTTCATAATTTTATCGAAATCGAACTGCTTTAAGATTTAACATATATAGGAAAAATCAGGTCAATTGTTATATGTAAAAGGGTAAAAAGGATATAATCTCGAGTCGATCTAGCCATGTCCGTCCGTCCATCCGTTCGTCTGTTCGTATGTCTGAATGCAAGGATCTCAGAACCTCTAAGAGCTAGAAACTTGAAATCAAGTTTGTTTCCGGTTTTCGATAACTTGTCCTGTTTCCAATTAATCGATAAGTATCTATATTGAAATCCTGTTTTTTGAGCAATTTTGGTAAAGAGCTAGAGCCTAGCTGTAGCTATAGCTGTAGCACATTTAGAAGCGATTAGCTCAGTTGACTTAAGGATAAAGGTTTTAAGCACAATTCCCACTCGGTGGGAAAAAAACCCAACTCTGAAGTTAGAACCTCATCAATAGGGTACCGTCAGGTCACATAGCTGTTATTTGTTAAACTTAATTAATTGAAAAGAATTCCATATTTTTTTGTCTTCCATAGATCTATGCACTTCTGTTCGAGCATGGCCATTTGAGCAACACAGATATCACGACCTTCCCAAACTTGTATCACTATCTGCAATGTGGTTATGATATAAAGGGCGCCACATGAGCTCGTGGGCCGTGGAGAGGGTTGGCTGAATTGTTAGGATGTAAGCGATCACAGGTGATAGTATATATCGAATGGAAAACAAAAGAAAATAAAAATATGTAGAGAAGATGGAAATGTGATCGATCCCAATTTCGTAATTGCGGAAGGTGGCTCTGGTCTGAAACATTAAACAGTTGTCCAACAAAATATTTATGTATGTATGTATATATATATATATGTATTTGTATATGTATATGTATGTATACGTACGTAAAGTATTTGGTTATGAATTTGTTATATTTTATAAATTTTAATTAACTGCATCGAGACAAGAGCCAAACAACGAGAAATATATGTATGCAGTAATTAGTATGAATCTTAAGAAATACGTTCGATTTCAACAAAACAAATTATTATTAAAAATTTCAAATTTTTACTAATTATTTACCTGGTACTATGTGTGAATTCTAACTGCGATCCCTATACTTTGATCAAGTGCAAGTGCGAGCTCTAAGTTCTGAAAAATTCTACCTCAAGAAACTGTGGATCTTAAAGATGGGGTTAAGGCATCCGTAAAAATATAAATACAGGACAATATCTTAAAAAAAAAAAAATTAAGAAGCGTGGAAGGTTTTCGAAAGTCGACAAGTTCTGGAACAGCTTTTGCTAGGCAAGAATCTTTATAGATTCAACATTTAGTTATTCCTGCTGCAAATCGATATTTATCGATTTTGGGAAGACAAGCTTAGGTCTTCAACGAAAATGTAAACTTGCACAGAAATACACGCATATATTACAAATTCACAGCGCGTTTTCTGAAGATCCCCAGATTTATAATGCCAGAGTATATAATGCCGCCTATCGGACTATCGGTATATCGCCTATCGGTCTATCGCCTATCGATTATCCATATCTAGCATGATTATCCATAGTTAAATTTTAAATTTAAGAAAATGGTAGTTTTGTAATAAATTGCACGAAGAAGTTGCTTTCCGGGACCCAAGTATTGATATAAAATTTAGAGCAAAAAGTAAAATTTAAATGAATAATAAATCAATCGTAAATATAAACTCTGCAAATTTGCCGTCCAAGCATTGACCCAACTGCGCATAAAATAAATAAACTGTATATCGCATTTCTATATATTCGACTATATATACTTGGATTCTTTCGCTTGGCAATATGCCATCAGATCCATTCAACAAACAAACGAAGAAACATCATAAACATTTGCATTTTGGCGCGTGTTTCTATTGCTGGTTCCGCGAGTAAATGGAAAATATTGAGTGTTTCTCAAGAGCATTTTCGAGTGTGTATTGAAAAATACGAGAGACAAACGGAGAGATAGGAAGAGCAGAGCAGAGTCTCAGCAGAGCCTCAGTCTGGTCAAGGAACAGCCACGGCACAGACATCGCTCGTAAATCCAAAATTAGTTTTTCGAACGCACAAAAATTTACAGAAATTATTTAAAAATCCATTTAGACGATTAGTCCAGGTCGCCAACTTGTAAATCGTTTCGAGTGCTGGGCGGCATGTTTAAAGTGTCGCAGGAGATTCGCTTGAATACGAGCGCCGCGGGCGCCCTGGGGCAGGGCCAGGTGCAGGGGCTGGGCGATGCCAGCGATGGCAACAGCCCGGAGAGCGTTTGTATTTTTGGGCGATACCAGCGCACGCCCGATGCGGGTGAGTGTTGCCTATGCGGAAGTAAACATCTGATGCGTCTATTTATAAATACGCGGCAGATGCGTATCCCACAGAACCGCCGCGGGCGTCTCGAGAGTCCCAGTGGGCAGCATGGAGCGCCACTGCAGCTGACCCAATTGGACCCGGAACGCTTTCAGGTGCAATGTCAGCTGCCGCAGGCGGGTCTCTATAAGGTGCACATCAAATGCAATTCCGTGCCGCTGCCCAAATCGCCCTACATTATAGTCACCATAGCTGGCGTGCCTCCAACTGAGGATGGCACTGATCCTGCCACATGCAGTCCGTCAAGTGAGTAGCTAATGAATATTTGTATGCTCCCAATTTATTAAGCACTTCACTTATGTATAGCAGTGCCCGTTTTCGAGTCGGACGCCAGCAAGGTGCATAGTCGTGGCCTGGGCCTAACCCATGTCAATCTTCTCGAGCGGAACGAGTTCACTGTGGACGGCAGCGCTGCCGGCAGTAATATGCTCTTTGTGGGCATACTGGGAGCCCAAGGACCTTGCGATGAGGTGCTGGTTAAGCACTTGGGTCGCCATGTTTACCGTGTCATATACCAGGTTCGAGAGCCTGGCGAGTACATTCTGGTGGCCAAGTGGGGTGAGCAACACATTCCAGGATCACCTTTTAGCCTCACCGCCGACTAGCTGTGGCTCAACAGAAATTCTATTTGGAGCCCAGAATATTCCCCATGGAATCTTAAGTAGAAGATATACTTTTTCCTAATCAAATGATAAACAATAAAAATGAAACTATTATTTATTTATTTTAATTGATATGCCCGAATCCCTGGCAGCTTCATTTTATTTTGCTAAGCAGCCGTGCAGTATGCCAATTGCTCAACTACTAGTTGCCCCCTGCGAGGGGAGGCGTAGTCTAGAGCAAAGTTCATTCTATGTGCAATCTAATGATGATTACCAACACTGATGACGACGACAACAACAAACGAAACAGCAACATTATCATTTTTTGTTATTTAGCCGACGCTAATGACGTTCGCATTTAGGTTATGTGCTAGGGTGCAGCGGGGAGGAGGTATTGCTCCAACCTAATGATGATGACCATCGTACGCCGTACGCATGAGAACGTGTGTGTGTGTGCGCAACAACAAAAGCAGTTGCGCATCATTGTGTTGGTGCCGGTAAGGGAGGGGGAGCACACAAAAGGTTGCCACAGTCGCAGTTGATGATGATGATAATGCGTTTACGTTGCTTGCTTTAACGAGCTGCTGCTGCTGCCGCCGACTGGCGCGCTTAAGATAAATTACATGGTCATGCTCATGACTGAAATCAAGCTAGAGCGCATCGCTAAAACCATTACTCATTTAAGCTTGCAGTGGGCGTGGTCACGCCATATGTTTGATAAAAGCATACAAGTCTGATTGGCATATTGTTAAAGTCTTGAACATAAACTAGGCACATTTAAGTATGTGCATAAATGTTATTTTAAATTTGGTGCACAATGTACAACCAGATTGGCAGCACCGAAAACACGTAACACACTGGCTGCACCTCTCACACCATGTTGCGCGCGCTGTTGCTGTCTCGCTTGCACAACATCATTATGGCCGTGCCGTGTTCTGCCATCATTAGTGTTGGTAAATATCTCGAGCTGAGCTGCTAACTACGTTTTTCGTGTGTGTGCTTAAACATAATTAAAATTTAATTATTTAACTTATTATTAAGTTTTGCGTTCGCTTGTGTTGGGCTTGTTATTGTAACTGTGTTTGCGCGCCCGCTATTGCTCATGCTCGCCTCATGAGCATCAAAATTGCGTTTGCCACAATCGAAGGAAAAGTATGTACCTGTGCATGTGTGTATGTGTGTGTGTGTGTGTGTGTATCTTCATTCCTCGCAAAGGGAAAAAATATTGTTGTAGTTGTACGCGTGTGTGTATTCAAGAAAAGTTACCATCTCTTGTCCCCACGGGCAACAACAAAATGTAGTTGCTGTTGTTGCTTTTGCTGCTGGGCCCCATCAACTGCGGACCAGCAAGTGCCAATGTAGCGGCGACGTCGACGCCAGTTTAGCTGTCGACGTCGTCGTCGTCGTCGTCGTTCTTGTTGTTGTAGCATCTTCATTTGCCCTGGCCGCAGCTTTTGTACACTTGAAATACCGCTTCAGTACAACTTGAGTCGTCGTCGCGCTAGTTTCTTCGTGTTTGTTGTCTCGTGCCCGCTGCGCGTGCAATTTACACCTTGCATTTTGTCTTTTGTTTACCTGAATGGAACATAGCATGTGAGTGTGTGTGTATGCCAGCATGTTTATGTACCGGTGTATTTACAGCTTAATGATAATCTAAAACTGTTAATTACGAGCATGTTTACCGTGAGCATATATATATATGTGTGTGTGTGTGTGCAAATTCAGAGCGCTGCCAGATTTTTTGTATTCTAATGTGCAAAGTTTCCAGATGCAAATATGTACATATATACATAAAAACATCGAGTTATCACTGGATCGTAAAAGTATTTGAATCATTATTAATCAAACAGGTGCTGCGATTTATTCTCTTTAAATCAAATGAATCCATCGGCTAGCTTCATGGTTACATTAACATGTAAAGTACTTGAAACCATTCTTTATAATTTATGTGAAAAGACTAGTGGGGTGGTCGGGGGGGGGGGGGGGTTTGCGGATTCCGCCAGGTGTGCGCGCTTAAAGTAAACATATGTTACCATAAGAAAGTGCGCAATTGCTTCAAACTGACAGTTTGCCCAAATAGAACCAAATTAAATAATACCCTATACCTAAAATATCCTCGCGTTGTGATTTCCACAGTGAAACAAATTCTGGAAACTCCATTTCCTAATTCATAAACATTTTTAGGGATATTGTTTGATAATTTCTAAAATGTTTCCTTTAAGTGTTTCCTTCTGTGTAACGCCTAAACTATGTGGAGACTCGAGTGTTTCTGCCATCCATAGGGTATATAGCACATTTATTAATTGTAAACATAAATATATATTGCAACTAGATCGGATCCTCCAAACATCATAGCCCATAATATCTTGAGATTACGATGTGCGATTATGGGTTTCCTTTGAATATTGTGGGGATTGAAGGAAGGTCAACGAAGGTATTTGTGTCTGAAGTTTAATATAGTTATATTTCTCTTGGAATCCCGTACTTTTATATTACTATCTCTACCGAATGTGAACCTTATGTAGATCTACTTCAGATGCATTTTCATATATATATATATTCATATCGCTTATGGCATGCCTCTTTATCGATGACTTCGGTCTGTAAATAAATGTATACAATTATTAATCTTAATATTTTAGGTGCGGCTCTGAGGTGCAATTATGTTTCCATATTAATTAGCGCGCTCCATGTCTAGCTCCAATTGTCAGCCGAATTTTGTTGGGCAACTGTTTGTGGCGAGTGAGACCCATGTGAAATGCCTGTAAGTATGCAGCGTGAATCAGTTCATATATGCAATATTTCTAATCCCGACATTCCCCTGCCCCATGGACAGTATGAAAAATTCAACAAAAAGCGCCGACAATGGGAGGATAGTGGAGTATTAGAGCTAATTAAACTATGGAAAGTTTGCGCCTATGAATTGCGCACAATCAAACGAAATGGACACCTTTATGTGGCTATGGCAAAGCAAGTGAGTTAACATACATATATTTAAGATACCTTCAATTCTAACATTATATACGTGGACATGGCCGTATCTACTATTAGATCAAGTTGAAAAGTTTTTTTGATAATCTCGAATCTGTCTCGTTATGTTTTTCAGTTGACGGGTCTTGGCGTACCCGTTACCGCGCTGGAAGTACACTTTAAGGTAAATAATCTAACACAGCGTTATAGACAAGAGCAAAAGACATTCGAGACAACGGGCATCATTAGCACGTGGAAATTCTATAGCCAGGTGGATGATGTGTTTAAGAGTTTGGCTGCACACACGGGCTACAAGTGAGTACAGCAAAGTATAAGAGCCTTAATAACCCAGCCTAATTCGAATTTATACACAGAGATAAACGCATGACGAGCTCCTCGAATGCCAGCAGCTTACCATCTACATCCGAGTCACCAGTTTGGAAAAATCCAATGTCTCAGCAAGAGTTTAACAGCAACAACACGGAGGGGTTCTACAAGTATAACTTATAATTATTGTGTACACAAATGTTTGCCAAGATTAATCGGCTATCCTTGCAGATCGGAGTACGGCATGCATCGCCACTTTATGGACCACTCCCAGCCGCCACCCAATGCCGGCAATGTGGACAATTTTATGGCCTCATCGGCGGCGGTGGCAGCTGTTGCGGCTGCTGCCTCGGCACGCCTCGCCGACAGCAACATGGAGCAACAAATGCAAAATGCGGCTGGCGCCAGTGGTGCCGGTCCCGGCGGCAATACCAATGGCGGTGTACCCAACTACAATAAAATCAAAAAATCCCACGAAGATTATGACAAATTTGTGGACATTGTGAAAAACATTGTTGACACACACAAAAGCACGCCCGACAAGGTGGACGCGTTCGCTGACTTTATTAAATCCTATATGAGACGCTGGCCGGAGCGGCTGCAGGACGAGGCCATCAATCACATGACAAACTATGTTGTTGTCAAGAATATGGAGCACAGCATGGGCAGTGTACCCGGCGGTAGCCTGCACAATCCCGATGGCGTCAATAATCGGCAATAACAATACAAGCAGGAGCCCAACAACTAAACGCAGGTCGCTTAGGAATGGAGCGCAGCCGGCGGGAGTTGTTGGACGGCCGCCGTGGCGGTCGTAGTTGGCAGCTCCACGAAACCAAGACCAGGGCGGGGGCGACGCAATCAAAACGGCGGCCAGAATTTACTTAAACAAATGTGGCGCGCAGTTACTTAAAACAAAATAAAACAGGAATTATATATCTGCAAACTGAGAGATCGGTCAGTTTTGCTTAGATCATATTGTAAACGATTTCATGCAGTATTTTTTGTATAGTTAAAATATACAATAAAGTTTTTAGTTTTATGTCAAAGTATTTCGGTACGTTTCGAATTGAGTTCGATATGGTGAAATACATAGACACCCACACATGATTTGTAGAGTATAGAGAGTACAATACGATTATATGTAATACGTTTAGAAATCATTTCCTACTTTTAGCTGTAAACGACAAAAACCTAAATGAATAAACGCTTTAAAAAACACAACAAATACAAAATAGGCACAGTACGATATATTTTTGATGATCTTTGTCACAAAAAGGCATTAAATGTAATTTCGTATTAGTTGTAATCGTAAGTCCCTTATTTGTAAATGAAATTTGCCGATTTTTCCAGTACAAGCCATATGATAATGTAGTTAAATGTTAAGATTTTACTGTGTGCTGTATGACATAGTGATTCGATCCGCTGGACTTTGACAAAAGTACTACGGCGGATCACAATTTCATCTTACAATCTGAGGCACATCATCTTGGACATGTATATATGCATATACTTTAAGAGATCATAGATGCTTCATGCTTCAATTATAGCCTCTATATAATGAATCAGAATTGGTTCGTTTATTAACTTAAATACGTTGAACTTGACAGACGACACTATTAAACATGTTGGGCTTTGATGAGGCTGTGGGCGCTGTAGGCGTGACCAGAAAGCGGGCAAAGGTGCCGCCTTTGTTGTCCGACAAGCGACCCGGATTGATGACCAGACAATCGTTGACCAGGCGTATAAAGTGCCGCTGATCGCTGGGCAGGATGAGCACATTGGGCAGCTGCTTGAGCTGTGCATATTTCTGGGCCAGCTGCGAGTCGTAGGACATGTTCTCATCCGCCGGCGGGCATATCGGATAGAAGGAGCCCTGATTGAATAGATGATTGATGGCACGATGCATGCGCTCGCCCGCATTTGCCGCAAATTCATGGCTCAGCAAATGGTCCAGCACATCCGTTGAAGTGACGCCCAGCGTGACTCCATCCAGATCAACCAACGAGGGATCCGGCAGCATATGCAGATTTGGATATGTTTTCCGCAGTGCTAGAGATGGCGTGGGATAAACCGCTGGGGCCATTGCATCCTTTTGACAGCTGACCAGCAGCACTGTGGTGCTGCTGCCCACCACGTCCATGATGCCAGAAATCATCTTTTCGAAGAAGGAATCAAAGGTCTCGGCCAGATCTCCGACAAGCTTGTGCTCGGCGTCCACAAAAGGGCCCGTCAGCAGCAGCACATCCGGTCTGTGCTCCTTAAGGTATTTGAGCAGTTCGTGTAGTGGTTCATAGAAAAGATCTGTACTGTGGGTGTACGGTCCAGCTGCGACCACAAACTGTACATCGCGATCAACTTTAAGTGGCGGCGGCAGCGTCAGCTTGCGATCTGTGTAAATCTCCTCCACCACAAAGGTATCTCCACGTGGTATGAAACCTTTAGCCAGCACAACCTGACCCGGAAATATGCTGGCCGACTTGATTTGCGAAAAGTTTAACGCCAGGCACTTCTCATCTGTATTTAGCACGGCCAGCAGCGCGGAGTGAGCATCCAATGGGCCGTCATCATCGGAATGTATCATGCCCACGGCATGCAGTACGTGCAGTGCGTCCAGCGTGTGTCTATCCTGTGGATACCAGCTGCACTCGGCGGCACCCTTAGCGCCCAGCTTCTTGTCTACAAGAGCCTGGCCAATATCTACTAAGCGATCATGCAAGTCATCACATCTGTCGTAGAGCAGGTCGTTCATGTACCTTAGATTGGCAACTGTCAAAGGTACATCATTGTGGAGCAACTTCTGGACTACGGGCAAGGGTTGCTCCACCTGGGATTGCCATGTACAGCCAGCTAACAGCTTGGGATGACCAAATGTGTCGACTATGTCACCGGGCTTTCCAGTTATGGTTGATGTAGTCGCAGCCGGAGTCCTCTTTGCCGACTGGGGTGTGTAGCTGGCGGGACTGAAGACCATGCCACTCTTCATTATTGAAGTTCGAGCACGTTCATTGCGGGCTTTGGGCGTGTGCGGCTGTGTGGACGTAGAGTCACCTACATAATCATCCATCATGGGATCATCTTCAATCAGGCCGTAGGTAGCCAGAGAACTGGTTTCTAATGCAGACGGTTGGGATTTGGTGTGATGTGTTAACTTCGTTGTGCCAACTTTTTCACGCTTTACTTGTAGCACCTTTCGCTCGAATTCGCCCAGATTTGCGGGAGTCGGATCATCACCGTTCAAATGTGACAAACTGAAAGCCATCCATTGCTCCACAAATTCGGTGGCATCGTGAATGCTGTACGTGAGAGCCAGTTCTATGCATTTCTCCAAGACGGCATCGCTGGGCTCAACGCCCATCTCATCAAATTGGTGTTTTAGTTCAGAGTCCATTTCGTTAGCCCGTGTATAAGTTATAAACTCTTATTTTTTTTTAGTTGCGTTTAGTAAACAACTTTTCGCTTAAAGATTTTTGGCGGGAAACCGATAACCTGCTTCTTCTAGCCATTGCAATTGCCATTCACAGCTACTTCTTCGATAATAAACGGCGCAAAACTAGGTGGCATCACTAAACTCTCTGGTTTTTAGTGCGCTTTACAACACATAAAAATAGTCAATGCAACAGAACAGACCTTTTCTCGGGCGTAAAACTAAATTAGCAATTATTAAATTTGTAGTAATATATATAAAAATCGAAATGTGTGCAATATGTTAATTAAGCTGATTGTTGCGCTAACGCAGCACCAGAGGATGATTCACAACAGTAACTAAGAGCCGCAGAAGCAACAACAACAACACGAACCAGTCGCTCTGCAGCAACAATACAAAAACAACACAAAAAACATAATTTGGTCAATTTGCATATTCATAAAATAAACGAAACGGAAAGCGCGTTAGGTAATTCACGCACAGCAAAACACAAAATGAGCAAACTGGAAACGGACTCGGACAGTTCTGAGGAATTTTTCGACGCCGAAGACACAACACCCAATCGCGCCTCAACGCTTTGGTAGGTGGTGCCGAGCAGCCCCCGACCCCCCTCCCACTGACCTAACACAGTGACTCACCCTAATGACACGCACATTGTTTTCTTTTGCAGTCGTAAATTGCCGCCGGAATGCGCACAGGAATTCATCTTTCCGGAGCCAGCGGTGCATGTAAATGCGGCAGCATCCTCGGACAGCGATGCAACACCCATTGGCGCCAATACGCCCGCCACCCGCAGTCCCACAAACAGTCTAGGCGCGCGCCTTAAGCAACAGGATGCGGCTGCTGCTGCTGCTGCTGCAGCCGCGGGCATTTTCGTGGAGCCCAAACCACTAAAGGGCGTGGTAAGAAGGCGTGGCTCTGTGTGTGTGTGCGCGTGTGTCTGTGTGTGCGTTCAATTTTTAGCTTTGATTTGACTGCATGCCTTAAAGTACAAATGTTTTGTTGTGTTTTTTTTCAGTTAACATACGAATTCCTCCCAAGAGTTGCCCCCATTGCATAGCCAGCCATCCGAAATTCTTAGCACGTTTCACGTTTTCCCTTTTCTGCTCGGGCTGCCCACTATGCGCAAAAATATAAAATCAATGCAAATTTCAATGCGCCGATTTCACTGCGATTCCCCAAAAACCCAAAAACAGAAGAAAAAACTAAAATACAATCCAAGCAAAACAGCAAATTAATTTGTCTTTCCGTCTGTTCAGCTCCCCGCCTGTCACCCATATGGTCTGCCTGGTCATATGGTTTTCTCTATTACTCAAGCACCGCATTTGGTTTTATTTGTTTTTATAATTCATGTATGCACCCCACTGAAGCGCGTCGCTTTGTTAAAGGTTTGCCGCAGAATCTCATCAGCGGTCGGTCAGGTATATATAGATAAAGCGAGGGCAGCTCGAAGACTTTGCCATTTCTAATATATATTATGCTTTGACCTGTGTCATAATCAGCAAAAATTGTATCAGCTAAGGCATACATTGAAAGCTCTCTTGGTTGGATATTTCAGTGCCAGTACTCACGCTACTTAGGGAGCTGTTCGGATGTTCCAAACCATCCATTTTCCACTCCTGCAAGTGGATTGTCAGAAAATATACGCTGTCAACTCTTATGCTTTGGGCCATTCATCAATCAGTTAGCACAATTAGTTTTATACACAGCTTTGTTTGTAGCGTACCTCGTTTCAATATACATAAACATAAAACATTTATTAAGGCATTTTGTTGATTTCACAAATATTTTCATTTCAATTTGTTGACTTTCTGCTTTGTCTACCAATTTGTATTATTACCCGCCTGACAACATGTAAATGAATTTAATTTATGCCCTGACAATCGTCAGGTACTTATATAATAATTATAATTAAATAGATTGCATTATTCATTTTATTGAATAATTTTTATTGTTGCCAACGCGCTGTTAAGCGCCATAATTATCAAAGGTTTGCCGTCGCCATCGCAATAATTGCTGATAATAACTGTTGCTTTGGCCTTTTATCAGGTTTACTATTTGTTTATTCATTATTTATTATAGATATTTCTTACTCTGATAATTGAGTTGACCCATAAAATATCTGTAACGCGCCGCAGCACGTTTTCATTCATATTTCATTTAATTGTCATGGCTAGAGAATAAGGGGGCAGAATACTATCTCTTATCTGACAGCGTCGAGTGCTCTGCAAATGTTTATAATAAATACACGTAATTTGTGACCCATTTGTAGCTGCGGCTAGCCTAAATAAGGCGTCTTGCCTAGCTGAACTCGCTCAAAAATAAAACAATTTTTATTTATTTACATATTTGTTAATTTCTCGTAAACATATTTGCTCTTTAATTTCATATTTTGTGCGCATTTCGTATATAAACAACATAAAATAACATTTATATATATATATTTATATATAAATTAATTGTTAAACACATGGAATATATGAACACAAACTTGAATTCAAATATGTATACATTTACAATGTATATATAAATAAAAATCAATTAAATATATGTATATCGTGCCGTATAGTCTGGTAGACAACGCTTTCAAGAACTACGTAAATGCATGAACCATGATGAAGATGATAATCCAGGAAATACCCTCACACCTGATTCTCAGGTACTAAAACTATTTATCACATTAAGTTGTAGCAACAATAGCTAATAACTATTATCTATATTATCTATGGGAAAAGCGCAGCTTAAGCGAGTTTTCTGTGGTTTTTGTTGTGTCTCCCAATTAAATGTTGGCTAATTTAAATATTGTTTATTTGACCACAGAACAGCTCCATGGACGGCGTTTTTACCAATCGACCCACGCATCCGTTTAAGGTCATTGAGAGCGATACAATGAGTATACAGAGCATGACATCATTGGGCCGCGTGGGTCGCATTTTGGCGGGTAGTATTGATCCGTCAGGTGAGTTTCAAAACGCACTTAGCAAGCATTCTGAATACACTCACTTCACAACATTTATTCGTAATCACACAGCGATCAGCGTTGATCGTGAATCGCTGGCCTCAATGAACGCCCAGCAGCAGCAGCTGCAACAGCAGCAACAGCAGCAACAACAACAGCAACATCAACAGCAGCAGCAGCAGCAGCTACAGCAACAACAACAACAGCAACAGCGTCAGACGCCGCCACCCATAACCACGACCATGGCCATGTCCACAGCCACAACAGTTGCCGCGGCAATAACAGCAACTGCAGCAAAGCAGGGCACGGTCATTGCCGTTGCCACCGCAACAGCAATTCCTTCTCAGATTCTGCAGGAGCCGGATGTAATAGCCAGTACAAAGTTGGCGCACTCCAAAACCACAGACTCAATTACATCCAGCGGGCCAATAGCGCCGCCACGACGCAAGAAAAAATCACGCAAATTCTCCAGCAGCAGCTCGGAGCATTTCAACATGAACGAGGGTATGCGACTGCCAGCAGCGGACACGGAGGATACCGACAGTGATACACGGTCCGTGCAGAGCGTGCGGGATGTGCAGCAGCAGCTGCGCGACGACATTGTCAAGCAGTTCGAGAGCTCGCTAAACGATGTCAGCGCTCGGGCGTCTAATAATACGCTGACCTGTTCCTCAACCAATACAATTGTGTCCGCCTCGGCGTCAACGGCGACCACGACTCCCTCATCGTTGGCGCAAATAGCCGCCACGAGTCATGCCTGTCATGTTCGACCCGTGTCCACTGCGAGCATTATGATGAAGCCGTCGCATTCGTTGGGCAACAGCGTCACGTCCGTCTACTCGAAACCCAGTCCGTCGAACTCGGCCAAGAGCAACTCTGCGCCGGGTCGCGTCAGGTAAGGTGCCACATCTTATTTAGATAGTTTTTTTGGACTAATACTCGTTTTTCTTGCAGTTCAATTGACCCCAATCAGGGTCTAAATCTGTTTAAGGCCATACAAGGCGGCTATGTGGTTAAGCCGCGCGATGAGGCGAGCAATAAAGCGCAAGGACCATCGCAGGATGAAATTGAGCGCATCGAGAAAATGCTCATGGAGAGTGCTAGTCGACCCAAGCTGGCGGGCAGCGGTTCTAATAGCTTGGGCAGTGCCACACGGTACGTAAGGTTGTATATATAAATGTGTGTATTGAGTGAGGGAATGGGCGAGCATTAGTTTGTGTAAGTCTCTGAAAATTTACCTTTTATTTATGACTCCTAAGAGTCCCTAAGGATATGTTTAGAAATTGTAAAAAGTATACATATATATCTACCATTAGATAAATTGAATAGCAAAAAAAGGGAGAAAAAGAGATAAGAATATTATTTTTAAAGAGCATACTCAATATAGGAACATTAGATATTAGATAATAGAAAAGGCAACAAGATTTTAAGCTCGCCCATTCCTTAGCAATAGCAAGGCGTTGATAATGAACTTTAGTTTAAGTTAAGTGAAAGTTATTAAATATATTTCGATATTTTTTCGCAGCAATCCCTTTGATCTATTCATAATGTACAAGACTTCGAGAATGTGCCTAAAGTTAGTTAGATATTTTCCTTGTTATATTATAAATTATTGCTAGTCACTTATCGCTAAAGTTCATTCAGACAGCTGCCTAAAACTGTTTGCAAAGAGCCTTAACTTATGTCTGTCTCAATCCACAGCTATACGGCCTTATATAGGGGCACCAATGAGAAGGAGCGCCGTAAGTCCGCTGGGGATGAGGATGTTTTGAGGCAGATGAACATTTATGTGCGCACACGCACCAATTCGGGCAAGCAGCTGACTGACTTCGAGATACTCGAGCAAGTTCCTGTCAAGAATTTGGATACGGGCGAGAATATGCCTTTATCCGAAGTGCGTTCACCGCCAGTGCCTGAGGGCTGGAACCCGCTCTCGCTGCATATACTGAAGTTAACATCGCATCTGGAGGTTATACAAAAGGAATCGGATGAGGAAAGTGTGATTGGCATACCGCCTAGTATTGAGGGCCAGCAGCCGGATGAGGAGGAGCTAGAAACGGAGGATGGCAGTCGACTGAAAAAGAAAACGGCACGCATTAAACGATTCTTTGGTAGCACCATGCGCAAAACGGTGGACAAGGCCAAGTCTATTGCGTCAGAGGTGTCGCATGCTCGCCATAAGGAAGACGTGGCCGATATTGTGGATGCCATGAATCCTGAACAGAATATTAAAATCAAGGCATCTTCCTCTAACAAGGGCCCCTATGAGTTCACCAAACTGCAACATGTACAGGATCTGAGCGGCGAGGACACAAGCGCCGTGTGGTGCATGAAATTCAGCTCCTGTGGACGCTTGTTGGCCACCGCCGGGCAGGATAAGGTGCTGCGGATTTGGGTGCTAAAAGATGCCTATCCCTACTTTCAGGTAAGTCGTAGCACATCTTTAAATCGCATACGTTTAGCTACTATCTGAGAAATTCATTTTGCAGGACATGCGCAACAAATATAATGCGGATCAAAAATCCTCGCCAACGCCATCGCAGGAGTCGCTGGTGTCGCAGCATTCCGCTGAGGAGGCCATTGCCATGGCCACCGCCGCCGAGAAGTGCACGGGTCCATTTATGCCGAAACCCTTTTGCACATACAATGGCCACACCTCTGATCTGCTCGATGTCAGCTGGTCCAAGAACTATTTCATTTTATCCAGCAGCATGGATAAGACCGTGCGCCTCTGGCATATATCACGAAAGGAATGCCTTTGCTGCTTCCAGCACATTGATTTCGTCACTGCAATTGCGTTTCATCCGCGCGATGATCGTTACTTTTTGAGCGGCAGCTTGGACGGAAAGCTGCGTCTGTGGAATATACCAGACAAGAAGGTGGCGCTCTGGAACGAGGTCGATGGCCAGACAAAGCTCATCACAGCTGCCAATTTCTGTCAGAACGGACAATTCGCTGTGGTGGGCAGCTACGATGGACGCTGCATCTTCTACAACACGGATCAGCTGAAGTATCACACGCAAATCCATGTGCGATCCACACGCGGCAAGAATCGCATAGGCCGCAAGATTAGCGGCATTGAGCCCATGCCGGGCGAGGATAAAATTTTGGTCACCTCTAACGATAGTCGTGTGCGCCTGTACGATCTGCGCGATCTGAACCTGTCGTGCAAGTATAAGGGCTACCTGAACGTATCCTCGCAGATTAAGGGCTCGTTCAGCCATGATGGCAAATACATTATAGCCGGTTCCGAGAACCAATGCATCTACATTTGGAAAACGAATCACGACTACTCCAAGCTGAGCTCGGTAAGCTATGCATGTGCTTGGTGTTCTATTGGACTTGCTTTAACTCGCTCTCTTTTGTTTTTTTTTAAATAGGTTCGTCGTGATCGCAGCGATTTTTGGGAGGGCATCAAAGCGCATAATGCCACTGTCACCTGTGCCATATTTGCGCCCCATCCGGAGGCCATTATCAAACCGGATCCGGATGAAATTTCGAATGATAAGGTGAATATTGGAAAACCAGCGATATTCATTGTGTGTAGAGTACTATAAGATACATATCTATCTTTTTGCTTCGCTTACAATGTAAACTGTTTTCATTCCCCAACTGTTTATGTCCGTCTCAGAATAATTAGCTATGAACATAGCTAATCTTTTGTTACGAAATCCTGTAATTGGTTACATATATGGCATAAATCTTCTTAAAATAGCTAACCATTCAGTTGGTTTGTAGTAATTTAAAAATGCCAGAAGGATCTGTTAATTTGTTAATTATATAAGTTGGCAATGGTTTTTATTATTAGAATGAGGCATGATTAAAAAAAACTTTATATATTATTTTATTTGAGCAGGAAGGTATTTACTTTTGTCCATTATTGTAAAATTTATTCCGAAAGATTCAATTCTGCTAGCAAGCCCACCTAGTATCGATTCGCTAACCTCGCTCCAGGCTTGAAACACCCTGTAGAAAACTATTATGCATGTTGGCTTTTTCTATTGTGATTGCCTAATAACTCGTCTCGTTTTCTATCCCTTACCTTTGCACAGATGGCCAACAATCAGCCGGATCCGTTGGTGGAGCAGCATAAGAAGGGCTGTGGCTATGTGCTGGTCAGTGCCGATTTCAATGGCGCCATCAAGGTGTTCATCAATAAAACGAAGCCCAAGCACAGCAGTTTGCCCTACACGGCCATTGCGGATTAATGGAATGTCGCCGATATGTCAATTAGTCGTTTGGGGCAAATGGTTGGGGGTGTACGGGAACGTTAACGGGTTCGGGTCGGGGCGGGGTAAGGGGTAAATGCAAAAAGGCGAAAAGCGTTGAAAACTCTTGTTTTATTTTGTGTACTTGTTTAATTCTGCTTGTATTGTACTGTATTTATGACAAATGTGTATGTATTTTGTACCGATTAATTGAATAGCATTAACGCTTATTTATGTATATTTAAACTAAAACGCTAACTAAGAACGTCAGATCGTCATGTCTTATATATACATATATATACTATATAATTACTATGATTATGTGAATTGTTAATGGATATATGAGCAGTGTGTGTGTGTGTGTGTGTTTTAAAAATCTTATGCAAAACAAATGTGTTTTCTAATGTTAATTATTTTCTAATGCCAATTCTGTGTGAACTGTGTGTGCGTGTGTGTACAGGTGTGTGTAGCTGTGTGTAAACTAGTTGATATTTTATAGCTTGTTATATTTAAAAACAAAAAAAAAAAACAACTTTAAGCCAATTGTATATTTTTCTTAATATTATGCAGTGTTTATTTTAAAAGCCACACGCACACACACATACACGCACACCTGCACACACAACACAGATACACACACACACGCTGATATGACTAATAATGATAATTAGCTTGTGGTAATTATTTAATACTATATGATATTTTGTGTAAAGTAAAGAAATGTGCAACCCCTTGGGGTGTGCCAATGTGCACTTTAAGCAATATTCTCGCTTGAATTTTTGTTATGGCCTCCTCGCAAAGGGTATTTGTTATACTAAGTGTGTAACGCATTGAAGAAATCGTCGTAGTATCCATTAACCATATACATTCTTGATAAGTACGAATAGCCTAAACGATATCGCTAAGGTCTGTCGGTCTGCCTATTTCATAAGAACAAACGAACGATTGCTCAAAATACTTTTGAAAATCTTAATTTACTATCAAGATATCCTAACCTAGGGTATTTAAGCTTCGGCCTCACTGAGAAAAGTGAGCTTTCTTCTTGCTATTGATTTTGCACGTTCCCCAGCATGCGGTATTAGAAGCGGTTGTTGAAGTGCTTCGCCAGCCCAAAGGAGAAGGATTAGAAGTGGCTGTTGGGAGTGTGGCTGGCGACGACAGCTATTTAGCGTAAGTTTAACCTTCATTGTTGGGGCTTCCTAATGGCCGAAGGGTGCGTTCGAAAGCATTCATTCAAGTGTGTGCGTGTGTGTGTGTGTGTGTAAGGGATAATCCTTTGTGTGTGATTTAAAAAATGAAATGTTTTTAGTCAATTGTGTTATGCATGCTTGGTAACTGTAATTGCAGCTGGTGCTTTGCCAATTCCCGACTGCGACAAATACTCCAGACTAGCCCGAACAATGCTGACAATATATACGTACATATATATATATATATGTATGTATATATATATGAATTTATATGCGCTGCGCCAAATGAGCGAAACAAAAAGAAAATCAACAAAAAGTGTCGGCAAACGAGCAAATGAAAATGGGAAGGCCTCGGGTTCCCTACTCTTCGATTTTCATTTTTTTTTTTTTTTTTTGGCCGGAAGAGGCGACTTCCTGAGTGCCATGGAAATCATTTGAAGTGCCTGGCTGAGGGGTTTTCCCCCGCGCAGACAAAGAGCGCCGGCTAGCGGCTAGGCGGCGTCTTATTTGGGGCGGTTCTGTGGCCGGGTTGCCTACCAAAGGCAAATACAACATGTAAGCGTGTTTCAGTCGGGAGTGCTCGACTAAATGATACCCTAACATCGGCTTCATTCAACCTTCATCGCGAGTGTTTTGGGCTCTTACATTATGATAAAATTATTCTTGATTAAATTGGGTTCTATAAGGAGATGCTTTATTCTGCGCGGAAAAACCAGTTGCACAAAACCATGCTTCCCCATTTACTCACTTTCATTGAATACAGGGTATAAAAGCGGTAATTTCAAGCAGCGACAACGAACGACCCCAGCAACCCCAAAAAGGAGCAAGATTTATATGTAATGTGGAGTTTGGATGTAAGTACATATTTTATCTATGTACGTATAAATGTGTGCGTGCTTTACTTTATATATCTGGGCCGACTTGCTTTTGCAATTTTTTTGCTGTCTGCTGTCAGCTGTGGGGTTTGAGCCCTGAGTTCGGCTGGCTAAAATAATTGTTTAGTCAGACAGAAAAGTCACTCGAAAGACGATTAGCGTTTATGTTCTTTTTAGCGTCTCCTGCAACATGCAATCAATAAAGATTTACGTATATAGTTGTTGATGGATAGGTGGGTGTGGGGAGAGGGGGCATGGCGTGCCAATGCGGCAACAACAGCTGTTGCAACCGACCACAGCAGCCAGACGCCGGCGCCGGCCCTCAACAGACCCGTTCCAAATGCCAATCAATGCACTTTTGGCCATGTGCCAAGTTGCTCTTTACATAAGAGAGCTGTTAGTTAAATAACAGCTGCAGTTTCTCTTAAGCAACAGCTCAAGAGGATAGCTGTTTAGACACACTGGGTAGCAAACAAATCTTTAGTTTTTCGGCATTCCCTAACTAATCTATTAAAGCTTTTAAGTTTCCAAAAATAAATTTGCTTGTTCTACATTTGTGAAAACACATTTAGCAGCCAAAAACTGTTAAACTGTTAGTTAACAGCCTGTCCTAACAGCGAGCTCAATGTGTTAAGAGAGCGAACACCTTACAACTTAAGCAGAGCATGTTTCAATAGAGATGAGTACTTAACACTGGCGTGCGCGTGTCGTGAGCAAGCTACTTGTGTACATATACAAACTGAAGGCATGCCTAAAGCAAGCTTGAACGAGAGAAAATAGCAAGGTTTACTTAATCTACATAAATATAAGAAATAGCAATGCTACTTTTATCTACACAACAGTTTTATAGTTACATTCGTGTGCGCGTGTAACCTGATTGTTTTTGTCACGCGCACATCATTGGCGTGCACACACTGGCGCACCCACACGTACGCACACACACACAGCCAAATATGTAAACACACAATGCGCCGAGATTGAGCAAGGTGCGCTTAGCTCTTACATGCTCTCAGTTTATTTCTGACTCTCGTGCAAAGCGCAACGTCGAAACGGACGGCTCGTACGGTCGCTCGGTCGCTCATGTTGTGTGTGTGTTCGGTGTCGGTTTTCGGTGTCGGTGTTTTTTGTGTGTGTTTTTCGGTGCTTGACAAATGCAATACAAATGCAAATGCAGTGTAACTAATTTACATATATATATATATATATTTATAACAATTTTTGAAACAATAATTTTTGGTCAAAAATAGCCATGCTTGCGTGCGTATGCGAACGTGTTCCATTGAACGCACGACATTGTGTGTGTGTGTGTGGGTGACGTTCTTTGAGCCTGTTTGCAGCGACTTAGCACTTAATTCAATTAAACAAAATTTAAATAAAATAAGCTCAATCAAGCGAAGGCTCAAAGTGCAAGCTGCTTGTGCGTCTCTGTGTGCATGTGTGCATGTGTGTGCGTGTGTGTCTGAGTGTGTGCTAATATTTTAATATGACGCTAATTGTTTGTTATTTATCGGCCAACAATTGTTTGCTTATCGCAGATCGATTAACGTTTTGTGACCTATTATCGAGGTTCCAAGTTCTCTTCTGGCTTTTTGCTTTGAATTAATAAACATTTGGCAAGAGAGGAAGAATCTTCAAACAACTCCCTTTCTCTTTTTTTGTAAAAACTTAATTAATTTATTAAAACCAGTTTTTGGGAATTGTTCTAAATCATGATTTTGTTTTCTTTATACTATTCTGTTTCATTTTATTTACTACACAAGCTGCTAGATTTCCATATTAAAAAGCTTTATGCATTTTCCTGTAACGATTTTACGGCAGAAAACGAAAAATCAAATTCTGAAATCGATTTTTAATGATCTTTCGTTAGTTTTCATGTATTTTCCAACGCAAATTTGCTGCGCCTTAAAAGCTTCATTAAATTACAATGTATTCTGGGCACATTTGTAGTTCGGGTTTTTATCGTTTTTTATGCGCTTTTTGGCTTAATTAAGCTTTCTAACAATTCAACTTAATTTTAGACGCCCGCAACGAGACACAAAAATCGTGCAAAAGCCAAACATAAATAACGAAAAAATTGCTTAAAACACTTTCAAAATGCAACAACAATTATGTCATATTAAAAATAGTGCGTATGATTAAAAATAAAAGTCATGAAAATTAAATAAGAAGTACAGTGATCGCTCGAATATTGGAAATTTTTTAAAATTTCAGTCGTCCAGAAACTGGAACCGGCATTTGTACATTTGATATTAATTCATTAAAATTTCCCCACGTAAAGCAGATAATTTAAATGTTCAATAATTTGTAAAATTAGTGAGGTTAAGTTTTTAATCTTAGTGTTGGATAATTCTACTTTTTTGAGCAATCACTGTAAGACTGTAAGACCAAAAAAAAAACATATTTAAAACCGCAACCCTTTCACTTCAAAAACCAAAAAATAAAAAAACTCACAGAGAATTCAAAGTGCAACAACAACAAAAACAACAGCGAGCCAAACGAGTTTCAATAAGCCAATAAACCAATAAGCAATAAGCCAAACAGAATACAACAACATCAACAACAACAACAACTTTAAGCAGCAACTAGGCCCGTTAGTGCGCCGCCGTGGCCTATATTCAAAATAGATCAGCCGCAGTCGCAGCAGCCGTCGCAGTTGCAGTTGCAGTCAAAATGCTAACAGCAACAACAACAACAACAACAACAACGACAACGTCAACAGCAACAAGAACGCAGCAAAACAAGTTTTATGCTAAATAATAATAAATAAATAAATAAACGCATCGCAATACCAAAATACAAAGCCGCCTTCCAAGTCGAGAAGTTGCAAAGGTGCAAAAAAAGAAAACAAGTCGGAACATTGCCAGCGGCAGACATCGACTGCGCGATACCCTGTGTACAGTGTTGAAAAACAGCTGAAAACTGTTCAACGTGCGCCATTTTAGAATATACGTCTGGTGCCTCTAAAACTGTAAGCGCCGATCAGTGACGTTCAAAAACGCGATTAAATAATTAGGAACAAATATTTTGGACTCGATCTTAAGAGGAGGTCAACAGAAATTGAACTGTCCAATTTATTGGTTTCATCGTTTCGATTGTGTGTGCAGGTTTCCACGTTTGAACCGTCGCCCTAGTAGGCGTGGTCAAGGTATACAAGATTTTATATACGCAGTCTTTGGCATTATTAGGACATACTTGGTCCTCTGATCAATATAGCCTCTATTCACATTTGTGCATAGCGTATAAAAAGTGACCTACAAATACGGGTTTTGCGCAGCGGAGCCAACAACAACAAGGCGTGAGAACTTGCCGCAAATGGCAACAACAGCAACAGCAACAGCAGCAGCAGTAGCAGCAACTGAAATGCAGGCAACGCTTGCGGTTAAGCGGCCCGGTCCGCCGGTACCGCCCAGGCCCAAAACAACAGCAACAACAGCAACAACAATGACAACAACAGCAGCAGGAGCTACGGTAGGTGCAGGGGCTGTGGCAGCAGTTGCTGCGGGCACACCCTGCCCGCCGCTCATACAAAAGAAGCCCACATTTGTTAGCCAACTGAGCGCAGTGGGACGCACCTTGGTCTACAAGTCGCCTTCGCTGAATCTACAAAAGAAACAGGCGCAAACACAGACGCCCACCATGGCGCTAGTTGGTAGCGCAACAGCAACTGCAACAGCAACAGCAGCAGCTGCAACAGCCGCAACAACAGTATCAACAACAACAACAAGAACAACAACAGCAACAGTTGCTGCGCCCGCAACGGCGCCTAAGCCACCGCTAAAGCTGCGCAAAGCGCCGGCTGTGCCCACAGCTAAGCCAAGGGAGTCCGTTGTGGCCGTCATCAGCGTGAATCGCGCCAATTCTCTAAGCGCACAGAGCAGTCCGACGCCACACAAGGACACGCGTTTGAGTCTGGGTAAGGTGGATTATGAGCGGGCGGGTTTGCTGCCTACGACACAGCCGCTGCCCAAGCCGCGAAAGATTGTTCAAATGCCGGTCGCCACGCTGGATGTGGACGATATGGCCGCTTTTGTGGCGCCGCCAGCTACGCCCGCCACTAGCATATTTAGGCGCTCCAAGACCACGCTGGATGGCCCGCTGGCGAGCCAGGGAGGGGGCAGCGGCGGCAGCTTTCTGGGCGGCAAAACTGTTGAGCTAAAGAATAACCTAAAGAATGCCGCGGAGCGTCTTTTCTCGGAGATCATTATAAGCCAATCTCAGAAGCAGACTTTGGCAGATACCACCATTATAACCAAGCATGAGCGCGCCATACAGCATCAGGCGCTGCTGGAGCAGGAGCTGGCGCAGGAGCGGCACAATCGGCAGCAGATGGAGCGAGTACGTGAGCGGGAAAGGGCACAGGAGCAACAACAGTTGAGCCAGGTCATTCAAGCAGCGGGCAACTGCACGCGGATAAACATAAACCCCAGCAACAGCCAAACCCAAACCCAAATCCAATCTCAAACCAAAACCAAGCCCATCAAGACATCTGTCAGCGCTGGCAATACGCCGGAAAAGAAGCCAGCTTTTCATGAGCTGCTCATCTCGGAGCTGGCGGCCATGCGCAATCGTGCCTGCTCCCTGGAACAGTTGCCCACCAAGTGGCAGTCGCAGGACACGCCTACTAAAACAATGACGCGTCAGCGCTACAATTCAATTGAGGATGCCGACACGGAGGATGTGGATGCGGACAATGTGGAGGATGCCGATGGCGATGAGGAGGATACATTGACCTATGCCGTCAACAAATCGTTAAAGGACAATGAAAATCTGAATGGCAGCTCAACGCCACGTAAACGCTGTCCCTCCGGCTGCTCCTCAGACTCCTCGCCCTATGGCACAGAGCGCTCGCAGCGCATCCGAACATCCGATTGGATTGAGGTGGGCGACAATGGCAAACAGGTGACCCTCACCAGCTGTCACATCAGTCTCGAGGATTCCGGCATGGAGGATGAGGAGCGACTGGACGATATGTCCTCCTCGGGTGTAGGCGATAGCTGGGATAGCGTCAAGGAGGCCGAACGCGAGAACGAGAAACGCTGTCGCAATGTCAAGCGGTGAGTCAGAAATTTCAATATTATTTCTGGGCATTTACGGACTAGCTATAAAAATGGGCTGGGCACATGTAAACAACTATATTTAAAGAGGTTTTTTTTTTTTTTTTTGTAATAAACTTTAACGTTTGAAATGCCTTCAACGGGAGGCATTGTCTATAGATGATAGATGAACAAATTAATGTTTCTCTAGAATATATTATCAGCTGTATAGTATAATACTTGAGGTATTATTAGTTAATGCCTTATTTTTGGAAACTTGCTATTAAATGGAATGGTTCGGTTGGATTACAATCATAACTAGTCAAAGTATGTGAATCACGCGATTACACAGTAATCTTTATTCTTATATACAATTATCTTAGGGCACAGGAGAACGAGGGGCAGTATTGAAATTTATCAACGGGCTTACAGCAAGTCCGTATATAATTTTAGCAGGAAATTGCATTTATTCATGTGATATGAATGACAGAAATGTGATAAGAAGTATATTTAGTTTAAGATGTGGGAAAAAGGTGATCAAAGAAATGAATATCAACAAATATTAGTCAATTTTATTGCAAACATTTAATCAGAGGATTCTGAGCATCAAATACAGCAATTGTCAATGTCTTCTAGTACTTTTCAGTTGTTGATGTCCATTTGAATGGCTTACATAACTGACATACCTTTGCTCGGCTCATTTATTATCCATACCCATATATTTATATACATTTTTGTTTGATATAATTTTACAATATAATTTCGCCTTCATGTAAACTCACATCGTGACTTTACCGCAGTCTGTAAGCAATATTATTTATGAAAAAATGTGGATTTTAAGCATATACGTGACCTTTAAGGAACTTAAAACAAAACTAAAGTACTCCGAATTGCTCGCATGTTTTCTGTTTAAGGTTTTGCCTGCATTTTCATTGATTAGTTTCTGGGAAATGCTGTCAAATGCCATAAAAATGCCAGTTGACAGGATCAATGTAGTGAAACAATGAGACATGTGCCCTGAACTTTGTACATTTTGCCTTGCCCTTTTCTTTCTGGCAAAGGACACGTGCAGAGGGTTGGCTCGGGTAATCCTCATTGTCAACGTCATTTTCCTTAATTAGTTGCGGCTGCTGTCAGACCGCTTGACAGACCCGTTAGCTACTCCCACCACAGTCACTACCTCTGACCCTGCCTGAGGGGTGAGGGGTCGTAAAAATGTTTTTCGCCACTTGCATTATCAAGCAGAACGTAGAATAAAAATCAATAAATATGCTTGGGCCATCAACAGGAACTCACGATAAGATAAGAGCGCAGCTATCTGACAGATACAAAGATACGAATAACTGTTGCCTGCCTCTGACTGCCATTTACCTGCTGTGGAGGGCTGCTTGGGCTTAGGGGCGTGCCTGTCGCCCACAGTGCGCCTGCTTGCAGATTCGCAACATGTGTAATTTTATTTATGCGCTTACCGCAATTATTTCACCGAGTTTCACTGCGCTGCACTGACACGCTTTACATGCCCTGGGCGACCGCTTGAGATAGCTCGTATCTTACAGATACACACACATACGCACACACAGATGTGTGTCTGTTGTATCTGTGTGGTGGCCCATTGTCTTTTGTCTCATGCAAATTGCTGGCAACGTTTCGGTTTGGTTCGGGTTCTCTTTTCAGACTTAGATGCGGTTTGAACAGCTTTGCCTGGTTTATTTATGCTATTTTTCATGTTTTTTTTTTTTTTGCTGCCGACTTTTGCTTCTTTATTTTGATAAATTATTGCTGACACCATTTCAAAGGTGTTGTTGCTGTGGCACGTTGCATGTGCGCGCATTACGCTCGATTGCTGTTGCGGCAACTGCAGCAGCAACTGCAACAGCAACTGCAACATCTTGCAATATTTTCAACAACAGACTTGCCAAGTTAGCGTCTACTTATGTCTCCTATATAACCATACATTTATTTACTTATGGATTGTGTGTGTTTAATTTTTCATAAATGCTTATTTCAACAAATCGAAACTCGTTTTGCAGCCACTGTGCGATATTCAAAGCGTTGTTATTATAACTGCGCATATAACTCTGTAACTCTGCCAATGTACGAGGGCAGCTCCTGGGGTTAATTGAATGAATAAATATATAATTGGTAAATGTGATCAGAGTTTGCTTTTTCTCCAACTAGACTAAACTTAGTTATATATTTATATAGTTAGGCTTATGGCATAGCCTTTCCATTTATATTGTCTGCTTTTAAATCGTCGCCATTAAAGTATTTTCCCTTATACATAGCTTAAGCTTACTATCTTAAATTTTAGATTCATACCGAAAAGTTTACTTCGGAAACTAGAAAGATATGTATTCCCAATTCTGCCCTCGCGCTTATAAGTACTGTGCATATTGTGAGACGTGTTTGCGGTGTGCTCAACGCTGATTATCGTGACTCACATTGTTTGGCATTTGGCTGGCGATCACACACATAACTACGATATATATATATATA